CCGGCGGGTCTTCACCCCGTCTGCCACTAACCCTCTGGAACTGCATTCCACAGTCCCTCCATCTCGAACCCCCCCTCCCCTGCCTCCTTCAAGACCCTCCTCTTTGCCCGTACCTTCGGTCACCTTCCTACCCCTACCCTCCCCGCCTCCCATCCCTCCCGACCCCAAGCCCCCAGCTCGGGTGCAGGATCCCTGACTGTCCAGCGCCTTGGGCGTTCTCCTGACTTGAAAGGCGCTTTGGAAACGTCATTTGTTTTTTTCTGCCCTTCCGAATCCTGACAACGCTGCGCTGCCGTCAGCAGTGCCATGGGGATGTCCTTCGCTCAAGGAACCAGACGGGCGAGAGGGCTAACTCGATTGTCAAGTTGATTCTATTTTACCAGTCATGTCACATGGAACCAGCTCAGCCGCAAGGAAACCCCGCTTACCTCTCTCTTTCTCTCCCCCCCCAAGGAAGATAGATAAGTCTCGCAGGTGAATAGGTACACACAGAGATTATTTTTTACGTGTGTTCTTTTCTGGAGAGAACGCCCATTGAGGTCATTGAGTAAATGTTCCTTTTTGATTCCCTTCATGCCCTCGCGCCTCCCTACCCTCTCCGACCTGCTTACGCCCCCCCCACTCCACCACCTGCTGCCTCCGCTTGGCCAGCTCTGGCCTCCTGTTCGTCCCTCGCACCCTCCGTTCCACCATCGGCGGCCGTGCCTTCAGCCACTACGCCCCCGAAGCTCTGGGACTCTCTCCCTCAATCCCTCCGCCTTGCCCCCTCCTTTCCCAATGTCAGACCCTGCCTAAAGACCTTCCTTTTTGATCGTGCTTAAGGACACCTCCGTCTCCCTCTCCCCCTGGGTCGGGGTCAGACACCGTCAAGCACAACCAGAACCCGTGAAGGGCGCCGCGTAAATGCAATCGTTGTTGTTGTATTGTGTGACGCAGCAAGAATTACAGTCCGGAGTTGATTATCGGATCACATCAATAGCCTAGGAAAGTTTATATTTTGTCTCCTTTTTTCTTCCCCACGCTCCAGCCCATGACAGATCCCCTGATGACCCAGTTAGTAAGCGACCGCCTAGCGCAGTAGTGAACCTGTACAGGTTAGCAAACTGGTTGCACCTCTGAAGGTTGTGGGTTCAAACCTCACGTCGGGACCGGGAACTCGCACAGTCTAACCTTACGTACGTTCCAACCCAGTACTCTCCCCGGTATCCTGGCCAACAATCCCCCACCCCACCCCCACCCAAATAAAACCGGTCGCTCACTTCGTGGACATCTCACCCGAAGGCCGGCGTCTCCACCATTGCAACCTCACCCCCCCACCGCTACATTGGAGCGTCAGCTTAGACTGTGTGATTCCAAATCCCGACGTTGGGGGTTTGAACCCATAATCTCGGACTCAGAGGCGAGAGAGAGAGAGAGAGAGGGAGAGCGCTACCGACTGAGCCAGGCTGTCGCACTGACTCAAATAACATAATGGATGTTATTTCAGTCAGCAAATAGAGGAGTAGGGAGGATGCTAATTCCATAGAGTAATAGCCATTTTGCCTTTAAATCACAATATTTTGCAGAATTGTAGTTAAACTGGTTCAATAAAAGTAATCTTTGCATTGGATAGGGCCCCTTTCACGTCAGGAGGACAGCTTAAAGAGCCTCACGGGATACACTATGAGGAGTAGTGACTGCGTGTTTTGTAAATAAACATGAATTCGCGCTTAAGCAAAGTTCCCGCAAACAGCCGATGAAGGGAGCGGCCAATTTTATTTGGAGGATTGTCGGCCAGGACACCGGGAGAGAGAGAGAGAAAATCTCCCTTCTCTTTTCAAATAGCGCTGCAGGCTCTTCAGTGTTCACCTGAACAGGTAGACGGGGAGTTCGGTTTAATGTTTCATCTGAAGGACGGCACCTCCAATACCCCAGCACTGCATCTCTCACACGCTAGGAGTGTGGCATCTCTCTCTCGCTCTCTCACACACTAGGTGTGTGGAACGTCTCTCACCCTCTCTCTCACTAGATTCTCTCTCTCGCCCTCTCTCCCTGTCTCACTGGGAGCTCCGGTTTCCTGTATCAAACATAGAAACAGGAGTTTCATTCAGTGAAACTGCTCCAAGCTTTCATTCCGTGAACCATCGCTGTCTGGCCGAGCTTTCCCGCTGCTTGTCCAACTAGGACCACCCTCCCCGTTAGTTAGGGCTTTGGCTGCGGGGTTAACATGAGCTGAGGGGGAGGATTCCCTGCCTCCAGTGACTGGACTGACCTTCCAGGTCCTGTCGATGAGCCAGGCCGGGCCGGGCTGCCATCAGCTGGAATACTGAGGACCCCTCCTGGCTCAGGAACCGGACTAGAGACGGTCACGGAGGGTCTGTGGCTCGATTCCCACATTCCGTGCCCAAACAGGTCACTTTGAAGCCAGTTCAGCTCCGAGGAGACCCCACTTACCTCTTCCCCCCCACCCCACCCCCAGGAGGATAATGAAAATTGCTGTAAATAGAATGTAAGTTGTTTGGTTACCAACAATTTAATCCGGTTAAAGCTTAACATGGGCATTAGGAAGTTTTGATACATTTGGTTCCTTGTCCCACCCCCCCAGTGGTTTGGAGAATATGTCCCATCCCATATCTCCTTACTAATGAACAATGAATGGTTAGTAACGAGATATGGGGGGGCGGGGGGTATTTTTTCCTCTCCCAGCCTCCATCTCACTAACTCCTGCCAATACGGCCAAGATCAGGAACTCTAACCCCGTCGGGAACCACACAGAGTAGCATGTGATCTCCGGAACGGACTCCGTGAGTGAGTGAGTGAGTGAGTGAGTGAGTGAGTGAGTGAGTGAGTGAGCGAGTGAGTAAACAAGAGATTCAGGGAGCAGCCCTGGGTCTCGGAACTGAGTGAGTGGGGGAGGGAGTGAGTGAGTGTAGGAGTGAGTCAGTGAGCAAATGAGTGAGAGCGAGCGTGAGTGAGGGATTGAGGGAGCTGCCCTGGGTCTCAGAGACTGAATGAGTGAGTGGGTGGGTGAGAGAGAGTGGGTGGGTGAGAGAGAGTGGGTGGGTGAGAGAGAGTGGGTGGGTGAGAGAGTGTGGGTGGGTGAGAGAGAGTGGGTGGGTGAAAGAGCAAGAGACAGAAAGCGAGAGAGAGAGCAAGAGATAGCGAGCGAGAGACAGTGAGCAACAGAGAGTGAGAGTGTGTTGGGAGAGTGAGAGAGAGTGATAGTGAGTGAGACAGTGAGTGAGTGGGACATAACTGGTACTACTAAGGAAGGTAGTGGAGTCCTGTGCTCAGTGGTTAGGGCACTCGAGAGGACCCAAAGCGACAGAGAGCGAGAGTAAGAGAGAGCGAGAGAAAGTGGGAGAGAGAGTGAGAGAGAGAGCATGAAAGAAAGAGTGAGAGAAAGATTGAGAGTGAGTGAGAGAGAGAGAGAGTGAGACAGCGAGCGAATGGGACATAACTAAGGAAAGTAGTGCACTCCCGTTGCTCAGTGGTTAGAGCGCTCGCCTCACAAGCAAGAGGACCCGGTTCGATTCCCGGACGAGTCAGGGCAAAACCTTAGGCAACTTTCCTTAGTCTCCACACACACACACACACGCGTGCGCGCGCCTCTGTTTACCCAGTAGTAAGTAACTCGTTAGTCGACTGATGGATCACTTTCCGGGGGTAATAATCCCTTCAAACGAAAACCAGAAAAAACAAATAATGTCAATTTGCTCACTGAATCCACGACTGTTTGTGGGGACGCTGTTTGTTTGTGAGCAATTGGCTGTCGCCCACAAAATATACAGTCACTACACTTTACAGTATATTCTGCGAAGCGCTTTGAGACGTCTCGAAGACGTGATGAGGCGTTGTATCGAATGCGAGGAGTATTATTGTTAACCATTTCCTTTAGTTGAGGAATTGGGTAACGAGCAGAAATGGTTCCAGGATTGTTGATAGAATAACTGTGTTGGTGATGAGGTGAGGTGGTGGGTGGGGGGAAAACGGGTGGGGAGAGAGAGAAGGAATTTCTTCACTCAGCCTTGCGTCAGGGTCTGAAATTCATTCCAATTAAATCTTGAAGCTCGATCGACACACGTAGAAACCAATCAGCGTTGCTTAAGAGTCTCCAAACCCAACTGAGAATTCCAGGCCTCCCACCAACCTACAGGTGGAAATCCCCGAGATAGACTGTTGGAATGGAACACGCTCTGTCTCTCTCTCTCTCTCTTTCCCTAGAGGGACGCACCCTACTTACCTAATTCCGGAGAGTTTTAGGCACCGGTTGGCAAGAGACAAGGCTTGTGGGGGGAGCCTAGAGTGTGCGTTGGGGGTACCTGCAAGAGTTGAACCAACTAAAACCATACAGCTTGCCATTAAGAGCACTGTCTGGCGAGCTTTTCCACTGCTTGTCTAGCTAGATCCACGCTATCTGTTCGGGCTTTGGCTGCAGGGTTAACGGGAGCTGAGAGAAATGACTCCCTGCCCCCAGTGACTGGTCGGCCCTTCCAGGTCCTGCCGTTGAGCCAGGCTGGGGAACTGGATGGACAAGCACCTGAACAGTAAAACAACAAAGGATGAGGGGAGAGAGCTGAATAGTGGGTTCAGTATTCGAGTGTGAGAATACAGATGGCCCTGATACAATGGGTTACCTTCCACTACCCGCTTGGCTGGCTCCAGCTTCCTGCACGTCCCTCATGCCCTCCGCTCCACCATCAGCGGCCGTGCTTTCAGCCACTAGGTCCCGAAACTCTGGAGCTCTCTCCCACCAATCCTTCTGCCTCGCCCCCTCCACCTCCCCCTCTTTTAGATCACGACTGAAGACCTTCCTCTTCGACCGTGCTTACAGTCACCTCCTCCCTCCCTCTTTCCGTCCCTCCCGGCTCAGCGTCAGGCTCCGCCACTGTCAAGGGCTGTGAAACGCTGAATGAAAGGGCGCTGTGTAAATACAAGCTGTTGTTGATGACGACGGTAATTCCTTGGCTCCTAGTGCCAATGACAAGGGTTTGGGAGTCAGTACTTACTGTGTAACTCACCCTTGTTTCTCTGGAGTGTTGTGTTATCCGTGGAGGTTGGATGCGGAGTGGAGGTTGGAGGCTCTGGGCTCAGCCTCGCTCTGGGCTTGGGGTTGTTGGAGGCCGGCTCCGGGGGTCCGGGGGGCACAAGGTGATGGAGCAGCTGGTTGAGGAGGTCAATGGGGGAGCTGGTGGCGCTCCAGGTCATGACGTGGAGGTCCCGTAGGTGAGCCCGGGCGTGGCTGGACATCCCAGCCCGCGAGTCAAAGTGAGCCCCACACAGGTTACACTTCTCCACAGCCCCACCACGGACCTTCAGAGCTGAGGGCAGGCAAACAGGCAAACACAGTGACGCTCACACAGCTACAGAGGCACAGATAAGTCTCACACACACACACACACAAGTTGTTTCACATATACAGTCAATTCACTTTACAGTGTGTCCCGTGAAGCGCTTTGAGACATCTCGAAGACGTGACGAGGCGCTGTATCAAATGCCAGGATTATTATTATTATGAAGTGACGAAGACCCTTCAGCTCATTGTATCTCATCTCATCTTTCCAGAATACCCAACCTACTGTCTTCCCAGTAATAATACTCATACTCCTTGCATTTGATACAGCGCCTTTTCACATCGTTGAGCCGTCTCAAAGCGCTTCACAGAATATATTGTAAAGTGACTGCGTATTTTGTGGGATAAACGCGACAGCCAACTGCGCACAAACAGTCGTTGAGTGACCTCGGTTTAATGTCTCATCCGACATCCGAATGATATACTTTTGACAGCTTAGACTATGTGATTCCGGATGCCAACATGGGAGCTTGAACCCACAACCTTCTGACTCCGAGGCAAGAGCTCTGCCGACTGGAATTCGTTGTTGTTGTTTTCACCCCCCCCCCCCCACCCACCCACCCTCTCAGCTCCCATCTTCAGCAGGAATTCTTAAGCGCTTCTTAAGACGTACTCCTGGTGTGAAAAGCACAGAATAAGTCTAAGTTGTATTCTGTTTGATAGGGCGCGCACATGTACACCTATCGCAGTCACCCCTTTTGTTCGCTGTGCCGGTCAGGTTCAGCCTCGGTCGCAGAGGTGTCAAATAAACCTCTGGTTATTGACTGAAGCTTCCCAATTTGCTTCAATTTAACTAGCAATTGGTAGTACCTGTCGTGGAAGAACTCAGTTAGTCAAGTTACAGCTAGTTATAGGGACTTGCATTGATTAGTGAGGATTGAACACACAGGCCACCCAGTACACTGCGAGCGAGAGCGAGCCTTATCGTGGGTGACTGAACCGTCTCACACCCGCGCAGCCACACGTACACACGCGCACTCACATACCCGCCAACAACTTGCACTTACATAGCGCCCTCCGCGCAGGGTAGCGTCTCAGAGCGCTGAACACTGGCGAAGCCTGACTCCGTGCTGTGGGGGTTGGGGCGGGTAAGGCGGCTGTAAGCAGAGTGAAGAGGAAGGTTTTCAGGCGGGATTTGAAAAAAGGGAAAGAGAGGGGGGCGGCGGCGGGGGGGGGGGGAGGGATTGAGGGAATGTGTTCCAGAGTTTTCGGGGCGTAGTGGCGGGAAGCGCGAGCTCCAATGGTGGGGGCGGTGGGAGCGAAAGCCAAGCAAGAGGCTGGTGCCGGTCGAGCAGAGGCGCTGGCTGGTGACTGGGGAGTGAGGAGGTCGGAGAGGTAGGGAGGGAGGTGCCAGAGAGTGAAGGGGTTTGAACACGAGCGTGAGGATCTTGAAGTCGATCTGTTCGGTGATGGGGAGCCAGTGGAACCTGGGCCGGAACTGGTGCGATGCGGGTACAGAGTTTGGTCCGGGTCAGTATGCGGGCGGCAGGGTTCTGAATGAGCTGGATCTTTTGAAATAGTGGGGCTGGCACACGCACACACACACACGTTCACACACATACACGTGAGCCCACACAGGCGAGCCCATACACACACACCACACACACACACGTGAGCCCGCTTGTACACGCGCGAGCGCGCACACATACACTCACCCCTCCTCTTCAGCTTCTGCAGTGAAAACTCCTTTTCGATGGCTGTGACCTCCTCCGCGCTGATGAAGTGCCGCGTGTTGTAGCTGATCCCCACTCGCTTGAGGTGCCCTCTGACGTGGTTGGCCAGCCCGATTCCTGTGTGGAACTTGTCCGGGCAGTAGGGGCACTCCCTCTCCACCAGCGGGAACATCCGCAGCAAGTTCCTGCTCAGGAGCTCCTCCGACTCCTTCACCATCTCCTCCGACAGGTCCCCGGACGGCTGCTTCCACAACAAGCCCTGGTCCCTCGGATAGTCAAGGAGAGAGTCCGATTCCTGTCCGGGATCGAGGGACCGACATTCCCAGTGTCCATCTGTCCCACCCATCACGATCACCGGAGTCATCTTCAGCAGCTGCCGGTGCTGAGCAACCGGAAGCTCCTGAGGAACATTCAACGTCAACAGGATCTCCTTGGTTCCTTTCTTTAACGCCCTTGGGTTGCAAGAGGTTGGATTGGCACGTTTCCTCGCTCTCCCAGCTTGCCGGCTCTTCAACTCGCCCAGGTGAATACGGAAGCTTTGGGCCTTGGAATTTGGCGCCTTAGCTCGACACGAAACGTCTGAGCCTCTCTCTTCTCCAGCTCCCTCTACGTGCGTCGGCTGCCTCGGGTTCCCCAGGGGACTGTTGGCTAGCGAGAATTGGCCGGTGGCTTTTATCCCGCAGGCGAAAGCATCCCCCATCCGCAGGCCCGAGAGCTCGCGCACGGCGCTGGAGCTTTTCCTGGCCGTGGAGAACTGACGCTTTTGCGGGCCGGAGGACTCCAGCGATCGGCTGAGCGCCACAGTGCGCTGCATGCTCTTGGGACCCCGCCAACTTCTCCCTCCGGGCCGGGAGTGGTGGATCTTCAAGTTTAAGCTCCCCCCGTCTGAGCCGCCGGCGACTTGTGGTTTGTTCTTCAGGCCCCCACTGAACACGACAGGCCAAGGCCCTCCGTAGCAGCCCCCGGTGGGCAACGGAGCTCTCTCGGCCTTGAGGGCCGATCGACTCGAAGCTTTGGACACCTCTCTGCAGGACTCGGGTTGGTCCAAAGGGCAGGGGCTCGAACCCGCTGCCCCTTTGCTGGGTCCTGGAGAAATCTCCGAGTCTTCTTGGTACAGGTGCTGATGGACGCGCTTCAGGTGCTGGAGAAAGGCGCTCTCCAGCGGGGTAGTGAATTGACACCTCTCGCAAGCGTAATAGCTCTTCCTTTGCGTCGCCAACACCGCTCTGTGCCCAGGCGGGGGTTTGTCCGCTGGGCGGGTCAGTGGCGGGCGAGGCTCCTCGAGATCGCGCCCGGCTCCCGACGGGCGCAGCCCGCAACCAGCGTGCGTCTTGGGCTGCGACTTCGGGTTGGCGTCCGCAGGGCCCGCCGCTTCGCCCCGCAGCTCCTGTATGGCCTCCATGAAGCGTGCCCGCCGCGCCTGGTGGAGGTTGAGGTGCTTCTGGAGGGAGCCAGGGTCCCAGAACGCGTGGCCGCACTCCTGGCAGGAGTAAGGGCGCACCCGGGCTTTGAAGCGGTCCTCTGCCTGCCCCTCAAAGTGGTCCAGCATGTGCCTGCGCAGGAACTCCTTCTCCTGGAAGTAAACGCTGCATTTGGTGCAGGTGTACAAGGCCGGTTCGCGTCCCCACACCGAACGAGTTTCCTCCGCGTCCGCCGCGCGATAGGAGTCCACCATGACTTGGCGCCCTCGGTGGGCCGACCCTTTCTCCCCGCCGCTCACCGCCAGGCAATCCGCTTGGCTGCCCGGACTGACGGCCCGATCGCGACCGTCCGCGACGCAGGGGTCCGGGCGCGGCGCTCTGGGCTCCGGTTCTCCGTCAGGTCGGGTCTCGCTGGGCACCCGGGGGAGATGGGGAGAGCCCGTCGCCGAGGTGGCTTTGATCTCCATCGGCAGGACCTCTCCGCTCTTCAACACCACCACCACCTCCCTCCTCCTCCCCCTCGCCTCGTCCGTCTCGTCCTGGCTTTCGTTGTCTTTCCCCAAGAGCGGCGGCGAGGGGGCAGTGGTTTTTCTGACCGCGGGGGCTTCGATTATTTCGGAAACGTCAGCTGCCCGGCCCCCATCATCCGGCTCTGGCTTTTCGCTCGGATCTGAAGCCAAGCGGTCTGGGGAGGCGGAGAAGCCAAGGGACTCCCCGGCATGGTCTTGGGCTTCAGGCTCCGATGTCTGCCCACTCTGGAGCAGAGGCAAGGCTTCGGGCTCCCCCGCTGCCTGACGGCCACAGCTGGACTCTGGCCACTGCGTGTCTTTAGACGGCGGGACCTTCGCTTCGAACCCTAACGGTGACTGAGGTGTGGCTTTGCTTGAGGTTGAAACTGAGACCGAGACTGAGGTTAAGGTTGAGGTTGAGACGGCCGAATCCCCTGAGGTTGAAGGTTGCAGCGAAGCGAGACTCAAGGCACCGGCTGATGAGGACAATGTGGTTTGGCCGCTGTTGGCCGCTACATTCTGCGTGGGACTGATGCCCATTGGGACCATCAGCACCGGCTGGCTTTGCGGGCTACAGCAGAGGGAGGCTTCCTGAGAGGTCGACCGGTCGTCGCACGTCAAGACCAGAGGAGGTTCCAGAAGCTGAAAGGCCCGCCCTAGCTCCTTCTCGGCAACGTGGACAGACTCCAGAGTCACGCGACTGCTCTCCTGGCCGACTTCCCGATTCTCACTCTGTCCCGGCAGCAGATCGTCGGGGAAGCTTCCGCCGTCCTCGAAGACGGCCCGGCTTTCCCCCCACGCCCCGACGAGACGTCCCTCGGTCGCCCGGGAAGACGCAGCCATTCCCTCGGCGCCGGTTTTCCTGGTGAACCAGGCGCCATCTTCTTCCACGTAGCTCGTGCCGGACGGAGGCGGGAACTCCCACACCGCCGCCCGGCAATCGGTGACCGCGGTGAGAACGGGCGGCGGCTTCAGGCACCCGACGTCGATCTGCCGCTCGGGCTCTGGCCAATCGTCCAGCAAGTTCCTGCAAGGCAGGCGCAGAGGCACGGAGTTAAGGCGGAGAGAAGGGCACAGGAGGCGCGGCGGAAGCAACGGAGACACAGAGAGCAAGACAGGGGAGCAAACAGCGGAGCAGAGCTGGACGACGCAGAGCGGGATGATAATAATAATAATAACCCTCGCATTTGACACAGCGCCTTATCGCGTTTTCGAGGCGTCTCAAAGCGCTTCACGGGACACGCCGTCGAGTAAGTTTGGATTCCTATATAATTCTATGTGACTGGCTATGTTTTGTGGGCAAAACGGGTCAGCCAATTACGCGCAGCAGTGTCCCGCAAACAGTCGTGGATTGAGTGGCCAAATTATTATTGTTTTAAGGGATTATTACCCCCGGAAGAGCGATCTGCCAATCGACCAACAACCAGGTTCCAACTTACTGCTAGGAAAATAATAAGCCCAAGCTCTCTCTCTCTTTTTTTTTTTGCCCAGCCGGGTGTCTGTCTGACACACGCGGAAACCCTTCACCGTGCTTAAGAGTCGCCAAACCCAACTGAGAATTCAATACACGTGGAAGATAGAATATACAGCCCAGAAACAGGCCATTCGCCTCAACTGGTCTATGCTGGTGTTTTGCTCCACATGAGCCCCCTCCTACCCTCCTCAACTAAGCCTATCAGCATAACCTTCCATTCCGGTCTCCCTCATGTACTTATCTAATTTCCCCTTAAATGCATAATAAATGCTGTTCGCCTCAACTACTCCTTGTGGTAGCAAATTCCACATTCCCACCACTCACTGGGTAAAGGCATTTCTTCTGCCTTCCCTATTTGATCTATTGGGGACTACTTTATATTTATGGCCCCTGGTTTTGGTCTCCCCCACAAGTGGAAACATCTTCTTTATGTCTACCTGTCAAAACATTTCATAATTTTAAAGAACTCTATTGGGTCACCCCTCACCCTTCTCTTTTCAAGAGAAGAGTCCAAGCTTATTCAGCTTTTCCTGATAACCTCGCAGTTCCGGTATCATCCTTGTAAATCTCCTTTGTACCATCTCCAGTGCCTCTATATCCTTTCTAATAATATGGGGATCAGAACTGTGCACAGTACTCCCAAGTGTGGTCTAACCATGATACGATATCTCTATCCCGGAGATAGATTGTTGGAATGGAACGCGCACTCTCGCTCTCTCCCTGGAGGGACCCATCCTGCTTACCCAATTCCGGAAAGTATTAGGCGCAGGTCGGCAAGAGCCAAGGCTTGGGGGGGAGCCCAGAGTTTGCATTGGAATCTGCTGGAGTCTAACCAGCTGAAACCACACAGCTTGCCAACGATTGCTCTATCTGTAAGCTTTCCTGCTGCTTGTCCAGCCAGGACCACCCTACCCTACCGTTCCTTCGTTCCTAATCCCACCACGTACCAACTGAGCGCACAAGTTGATGGGAGTCCAAGACTTACTGTTTCTCTGGAGCGTTGGTGAGATAGTGCTGGTTGTCTGAAATGGGTTCACAGTTGTCTGGGTAGCGCTCGGCCTCTGTTGGACAAATTGGGAGTAAATAATAATAATCCTTGCATTTGATACAGCGACTTATCACGCCTTCGAGACGTGTCCAAGTGCTGCACAGGATACACTGTAAAGTGAATTGACTGTATATTTTGTGGGTGAAACCCGACAGCCCATTGTGCACAGCGACGTTCCCCACAAACTGCCGTGGGCTGAGTGACCAATTTATTATTTGTTTTAAAACTAAATTTCGAAGGGATTATTACCCCCGGAGAAGTGATTCTCCAATTGACTAACGACTGGGTTTCTACTTACTGTTGGGTAAACAGAGGCGCGAGTGTGGAGTAAGGAAACTTGCCCAACTTTTGGCCCTGACCGGGAATCAAACCGAGGTCCTCTCACTTGCGAGGCGAGTGCTCCAACCACTGAGCTGCACGACTCCACAGGTAGAAAAAGCTCTTGGCACACATTCACAGCCGGACAAGCAGGTCATCACCAATGAGACACCAGATAAAAGGATTGCTCAAGATTCTACATTCAACCCACAACAACAAGTCTTGCTCCACCCCCTACCTCTGCGACCTGCTAACGCTTTACCAATCTTCCCGCTCGCTCCGCTCGGTGGGCACTGGCCTTCGCCACATTTCCCCCCCCCAGGCTGCCCGCCCGGCACTCTGGAACTCCATCCCGGAATCCCTTTGCCTCGCCTCCTCCCTTGTCTCCTCCCAGACCCGTCTCAAGACCCTCCTCTTTGACCGTGCCTTCAGTCAGGCTGTGTGTTTTCACACAGCGGGTGGTTCGGATCTGGAATGCATTGCCTGAAGGAGTGGTGGAAGCAGATTCAGTAACAACTTTCAAGACAGAAGTGGATAGATATTTGGGGAGGACAAATTTGGAAGAGCGGGGGAGTGGGATTCATTTGGACAACTCTTTCAAAGAGATGGGCGCGATGGGTCCTCCCTCGCGCTGCTGAAACCCTGGTTCACGCCTTTGTCACCTCAAGGCTGGACTATGGGAACTCTCTCCTCGCCGGCCTTCCCGGCACCTCCCTCCACACTGCAGGTCATTCAGAACTCTGCAGCTCGTGCTCTGTCCCGCACCAGACACCGCGACCACATCACTCCCACCCTCGCTCGCCTCCACTGGCTCCCCATCCCCCAGAGGATGGATTTCAAGATCCTCATCCTCACCTACAAGGCCATTCACGGCCTCGCTCCCTCCTACCTCTCCAACCTACTATCCCCCTACTTACCTGCCCGTACCCTCCGTTCCTCTGGCTCTGGTCTGCTCCACGTCCCCCGCCCCAATCGCCCTACCATCGGTGGTCGGGCCTTCAGCCTCTCAGCCCCGAGGCTCTGGAACTCTATCCCCCAGTGCCTTCGCCGCTTCCTCCCTCTCCTCCTTCAAGGCCGGTCTCAAAACCTTCCTCTTTGACCGAGCCTTCAGCTCCGCTCTCGACTCTCTTCCCCCTCCTCGCTCCCTCCCTTCCCTCCCATCACCCTGACCATTTCCCCCCTCCTCGCTCCCTCCCTTCCCTCCCCTCCCCCTGACCATTTCCCCCCTTGCTCGGGTCATGACCCAACTGTGCAGCGCCTTGGGACGTCCTCCTGACGTGAAAGGCGCTTTATAAATGGAATCTTGTTGTTGTTGTTGTTGTTGTTGATGGGCCCAATAGCCTCCTTCGGTGCTTTATAATTCTATGATTCTATCCTCCCACCCCCACCCACCTTGCCCCACCCCACCGCCCACTCCTCTGGACTCCCAGCTCGGATGGATAACCTTGACTTGGGACGTCCTCCAGACACGAAAGGCGCTGCGTAAATGCCATCATAATCTTTGCATTTGATGCGGCGCCTTTGCGCATCTTCGAGACGCCTCAAAGCGCTCCGGAGGATAATAGTGTGAAGTGAAAACGAAAGCAGAAGTCGCTGGGAACACTCAGCGGGTCAAGGCAGCCTCTACGGAGAAAAGAAAGCGAGTCAACGATTTGGGTCCAACGACCCTTCCTTTGTTCTGGCGCGGAACCGAAACGTTGGCTCACTTTTCTTTCTCCTTAGATCCGCGGAGTGTTCCCGGTGACTTCTGTTTTTGTTCTGAGATTTCCAGCGCCTGCAGTGTTTCGCGCTTTGTTTGTACCGTAAAGTGAATTTTGTGGGCGAAACGCGGCAATCGCACACAGCAGTGTCCCCACAAACAGTCGTCTAAAAATGTAGTGTCTCTCACACACACACACACACACTCTCGCACAGACGCACGAACGCGCACACTCTCACACAGACCCGCGCGCGCACACACACTCTTACACAGACACACTCACACACACACACACACACAAATAATCTCACATACACAGTCTCATACACACACACACACACAGTCTCTCACACACAGTCACACACACACAGTCTCATACCACACACAAAAAATCTTACATACACAGTCACACACACATTCTCACACACACATCTTACACACATACAGTCCCACGCTCACACGTGTAGTCCCCCGCCCGCAGACAGTCTCCCCGCCCGCACTCACAGTCTCTCACACACACACAGTCTCACACACACACACAGTCTCACACATATACAGTCACACACACACAGACTCATACACAGCCACACACAGTCTCACACACACACAATGTTTCACACACACAGTCACACGCACAGTCTCACACGCGTGCGCAATCTCACACACGCGCACACTCACAGACACACATACAGACACACACACTCACAGACACACACTCACTCACACACACACTCGCAATCACTCAGACACACACACACACTCACAATCGAACACACAGACTCACAGACACACACACACACACAGACACACACTCACAGACTCACACACACTCACAGGCACTAAATCTCTGTCTCTCATTGTTGCCGTAGCTGTTAAACGACTCGACTTACCGGATACGCAGTCCACTTTCAGCCTACTCAGAATTCCCTCTGTGGGATCTCCTCGATGCTCCTCTTTGGAAACGTGGCTGGCCGAGGTCTCGTTCTGGGGTGGGTTTTGGAGCAGCAGGAAAACTTCCGAAGCACGTTCCCTGCGGCTCGGGGGCATCAGCGACGTCAGAACCAGCTCAGTCCTGGACCAGCTCTGGAGTCCGTCGTGTGGCCCGCCAATGGGCATCATGCCACCGCCGTCACCGTGCGTGTCCAGGTCTCCGTCAGGGTTGCTGGGGCTCAAGTGCCCCATCTCGTCACCGTCTCTGTCGAAGGCTACGTCATACCCAAAGGGCACCGGATCCAGCGAGGTGTACTGGGCGGTCTCGGTCTCGCAGCTCAAGTCGAAGCCGTACGACATCTGGTCCACCAGGGACTCGCCAGCGGAGTCGTGGCTGCCCTGGATGTACGGTCCCATCAAAGCTCCCATTTCCGAGATGCTTTGGCACATTCCGTGGGAAACCCCGGCGAGCGGGTAACCGGGAAAAGCACTCATTTGGTCATTCAGTCGGTCTCCTCCTTCCCCCGAATTCCTCAGGGCGTGGGCGAGCGTCGATTTGAGCTCCGCCGGGACGGGCCCACCTCTTGAGCCGACCGACTCGCCCTCGCGCCCGATGTCGTCCTGCTCCCCCAGTTGGCCGAAGAGCTTCTGACCGGGTGAGATCGACTGGGGGGGGTCATAATCCAAAGCCCTCTGCCGCTCGATCTGCCCCAGGGGCGAGGCGAAAAGCTGACTGCTGACCTTCGCTCCCGACTGGTCATCATCGGTGTCTGTCCTCAGCCTCGCCTCCTCTCCTCCGCGAGCGTCCCCGGCCGACTGGTCTGCGGACAGCTGCAGGACATCGTCCGGGCTGCAGAAGCCCTTGTTGACGTTGGTCTGCATTTCCTCGTCCCACACGATCAACTCCTGATTCCGCCTGGCCTCCATCGAATCAGTGAACCGTCGCCATGCTCGCACCCCGGTGGTCTGCGCTCAGCTCAACGCACGCACACGCAAAAAAAAAAAAAACTCTCAACTGCAACAAGAGAGCGTGAGGGGAAAAACACAAAAAAATACGCGGTCACTCCACTTCACGGTGCAATGTAGTAATAAATGGGTCACGTCAATCCACGACCGTTTGTGGGGACGCTGCTGTGCGCAATTGGCTGCCGCCTTTCGCCCATGAAATATACAGTCAATTCACTTTATCGTCTATTCTGTGGGGCTCTTCGAGACGTCTCGAAGACGTGATAAGGCTCTATATCGAATGCAAGGATTATTATCATTATTTAATTATTAGAATTGTTGTTATCATTTAATTATCTTTACAAAAAATATTATTTATAATAATTATTAATACGTAGTCATTGTTACAATTATTATTATTAGCTTAGGCTTTGGACCTCGGTCATCTAGGGCGTGAGCCACCGCAAGCAAATCCGTCCTAACTTTCTTAAAGCGGCCTTGCTCCTCCATCTCAACCTATCCACTCCATCCATTCATGCATCGGGCACCGGCCTGCTCCAGGTGTATCCCGGCCCTCCGCCCACCCCACCCTCGGTGGTCAGACCCACCCCACCATGGGCGGTCAGGCCTTCAGCTCATCTGCCCCCACCCTCTGAGGCGCCATCTAATAAACGTGTTCAACAAAAACGATTAATCATTAAAAAAATAGAATCATTTGGTCACTCAATCCACGACTGCTTGTGGGACGCTGCTGTGTGCAACTCGCTGCTGCGTTTTGTGGGCAAAATATACAGTCAGTTCACTAAACAGTATGTTCTGCTTTGAGACGTCTGAAATGACATAAGACTCTATATCAAGGATTATTATTTATCCCCAAATCCCTCCGCCTGGCCCCCACCCCCCCTTCATTGCAACCTCCTTCAAGCCCCGTCTCAAGACCTTCCTCTTCGACCGTGCTTTTGGCCACACTCCCCATTCCCACTCCCCCGGCCACTCCACCTGCTCGATTCCAATCCCCGGCTCCGGTGCCGATCCCTAATGACATAGAATAGTATAATAATAATCCTTGCGTTTGATATCGCGCTCGTTCACGTCTTCCCGACCTCACAGAGCGCTTCGCAGAATAGACTGTGAAGTGAATATTTGTGGGCGGAACGCGGCAGACAATCGCGGCACAGCGGTGTCCCACAAACAGTCGTGGATTGAAAATGACCAGTTTGTTAGGGATGTTTTGGAGGGATTGTTATTAGGCTCTGTGTGGAGGAAGGAAACTTGCCCGAGGTTTCGCCCTGACCTGCCGGGAATTGAACCCCAGGTGTTTCGCTTGCAAAGCGAGTGCTCAAACCGCTGAGCTACAGGACTCCAATTGTCCAGGGTCTTGGGACGTCCTGCCAATGTCCTCCCTCCACAGGCTGCAGATCGTCCAGAACGCTGCAGCCCGTGTCCTCTCCCTCGCCAGGCTCCGCGACGCTATCACCCCCATCCTCGCCCGACTCTCCTGGCTTCCCATCACACAGAGGCCACAGTTCAAGACCCTGGTCCTCACCTTCAAAGCCCTCCAAGGCCTTGTTCCTTCCTACCTCTGTGACCTACTAACGTCCTACCAACCAGTCCGTTCTCTCCGCTCGGCGGCCTGCTTCACGCCCCCTGCCTTGCCCGCCCCCACCATTGGCGGGCGATGCCTTCAAACACTACGCCCCCACTCCATTCCACAGTCCCTCCACCTCGCCCCCTCCCCTTGCCTCCTTCAAGACCCGTCTCGAGACCCTCCTCTTCGGCCGTGCTTTCGGTCACCCTCCTAACCCTCCCCTCCCCTCCCTCCAATCCCAACCCCCCAGCTCAGGTGTGGATCTCTGACTGTCCGGCACCTCGTGACAACCCCCAACGTGAAAGGGGCTGAACAAACGTTACCTGTTGTTGTTAAATTAAGCCGAGAGAATAGCTCCTCGTCTGATCTCTGGGCATTCTCACACATCAGACACTCCCCCTCCCACTCCCCCCCTTCCCCCCCCACCCCCCGGACAACACAGACTCTCTACAGACAAACGATCAACAAAACACAGGACCCTCCCCCCCCCCACCCCCACCCCCACCCTGAGAAACCATACACAACTGGACCAAAAAAAAACACACCCAACCTATAAAGCACACGTCCATGAACAGACCGTCCCCCACCTGCAAAACACAAGACTTCTCCCACCCAGACCCCCACCACCCAAACCATCAAACGTAGCCCCCACCCCCGGGGCAGAGGGCAGATCCCTACCTGGAAAAATCAGCCAAGTCTGCGTAAACAAGAGCCCCAAACACACGTGCGCGAGGGCCCCAAACACACGTGCGCGAGGGCCCCAAACACACGTGCGCGAGGGCCCCAAACACACGTGAGCGAGGGCCCCAAACACACGTGCGCGAGGGCCCCAAACACACGTGCGCGAGGACCCCAAACACACGTGCGCGAGGGCCCCAAACACACGCGCGCGAGGGCCCCAAACACACGCGCGCGAGGGCCCCAAACACACGCGCGCGAGGGCCCCAAACACACGCGCGCGAGGGCCCCAAACACACGTGCTCTCGCGCCCCTACAAAAATACACACGCAAGAGCACCTTTTTGGCCGCAAAATATTCAGTCGATTTACTTTTCCGCGTAATCCGTGAAGCACTTCGAGACGTCTCGAAAAGATGATAATATTCATCATGTGTTCATTATTATAAAACACAGCCCCTACAAAGGAACGCAGACCCTCACAAAGACAGATCCTGCTGTTATACACACTCTCCCCCACCCCCCAACATACATACACACACACACACACACACACACCAACACACAATACCAGACAATTGCTGCAAAACACAGACATTTGTAAAAAAATCCTAGACCTAACATAAAAAATCCCTCTGGGCAAAATACAAACATCCTCCACTGAAAACACAGGCCCATCCACACGCACAAACACACAGGCTACACACACACGCACACGCACGCACACACACCAACAAGATTACATTTGTAAAGCGCCTGTCACGTCGGGAGGACATCCCAAGGCACTGGACAGACAGTTACGGACCCGAGCTGGGAATGGGGTTCGGGGAGGGGGGGAAGCAGGGAGATCGAAAGCACGGTCGAAGAGGAGGGTCTCTTGATGGTGGCGAGGGAGAGGGCGAGGCGGAGGGACTGCGGGACGGAGTTCCAGAGGGTAGGGGCGGAGTAGCAGAAGGTCCGCCCTCCAATAGTGGGGCGAGCGAGGTGGGGGGCACGAAGCTGGCCGGAGCCCGCTGAGCGGAGGGAGCGAGTGGGGTGGCTGGGGAGTTAGGAGGTCGCAGAGGTAGGGGGGAGCAAGACGTGGAGAGCTTTGAAGGTGAAGACCAGGATCTTGAACTGTGTCCTCTGTACGATGGGAAGCCGTGGAGTCGGGCGAGTTTAGGGGCGATAGGGTCGCGGAGCCCGGTGCGGGAGAGGACACGGGCCGCAGAGGTCTGGATGATCTGCAGCCTGTGGAGGGAGGAGTTGGGGAGGCCGACACGCAGGGCGTTTGCATAGTCGAGCCCGGATGTAATGAAAGTTTCGGTGGCCTGCGGTGTGAGACAGTGGCGGCTTTGCACGGGTGGGGGAAGGCAGAGCGGGTCATGGCGCAGATGTGGAGTAGAAAGGATAGTTGAGGGTCGAACAGGACCCCACATTTCCAGGCGGAGTGTGCAACCATGGATGGTGATGCTGTCAGCGCCTGAGGTGAGGAGGCACCAATCAGGAGAACCTCGGTCTTGTTGACGTTCAACTGAAGAAAGTTCGCTCTCATCCAGGACTTGATGTCTGACAGACATTCTGTCAGCACAGCAGTGACAACAACAAATTACATTTGCATAGACGTCCCAAAGTGCTGGACCCACCCACAACAAATCACTGCCACCCCCCATCGTCCCAAGAAATAGACCACCACTCCCTTGCACAACGCAGAAACCACCACCCCCCCCCCCGCCACCCCACACAATATGGACCACTGGTAACGCTGATCACTGACCACCCCGGCACAACCCCCATCCTGCTCCGCACATTGTGGACCCCCGCCCCCTCCATCCCCGGCATACAATGCAGACAATCTCCTCCCATCCTGCACAACAACAACTTGCATGTATATCGCGCCCTTCACGCTGGGTAGCATCCCGGAGCGCTTGACAGTGGGGGAGTCTACCCCCGAGCCAGGGGGAGAGGGAAGGGGGGGTGACGTGTCGTGCAATCAAAAAGGAAGGTCTTTAGGTGGGATTTAAAAGTGGGGAGGGAGGGGCTTAAGGCGGTGGGGGAAATGAGGGAAAGATTGACGAGATTCGGAGCATGGTGGCTGAACGCATGATGACCACTGACGGTGGAGCGGAGGGGACAAGGGCCGAACAGGAGGCCGGAGTCGGCCAAGCAGAGTAGCGGGTAGTGGAGAGGGGGGGTAGCGAGGTGCGAGGGTATTAAGGGACCACCCATTGCACAATACAAACCCTCAACACACAACGTAGGAACTCCCCGCTCCGTAGACCATCCCCACACACAAAGCAGACCCATTCCCGCAAAACACAAGCCCACGGTCGGAAACACAGACACATACACATGTACCCCTCCCTCCTTCACTCTCACCCAAGCCCGCTGTCCAAAACACAAGCCCGCCGGGCGCAGAGAGCAGACCAACCCTGTGCAAAAAGACATCAATAATAATAATAATCCTTGCATTTGACACAGCGCCTTATCACGTCTTCAAAATGCCTCAAAGCACTTCACAGGACACACTGTAAAGTGAATCGACTGTATATTTTGTGGGCGATTCCCTTGGAACACAAGCCCACTGTGAAAAACAGACACACACGCACCCCTCCCTCCCCCCCTCCCTCCCTCCCATCCCATCCCCGCTTGGCACTCTAAAACCACAAGCCCACCGGGCAAGAGTGCAGAACATAAGAATTTGCTAAGCGAAAGAAGACCGAGGTCCACCTAGTTCGCCTTCCACCATCCACCCGGCATGACACGTCGTGTCCCAAACTATACACTGATATCATTTTCCAGCAGAAATCTATCTATAAGGACGCAAGAATTTGCTAGGCCAACCGACACCGTTCAAAAAGAAGACATTCCCGCAAAACACAAGCCCACTGTTGGAAACACAGACACACACTCACCCCTCCCTCCCTCCCTCCCTCCCATCCCCGCCTCGCACTTCAAAACACAATCCAACCGGAGCACAGAGCGCAGACCAGACCTGTGCAAAAAGAGAAGACATAGGCAAAACACAGACCCTCCCCTCAAGAAAAAAAAATCACACACACACACACAAGACCCTCACCCGCCTTCCAACACACGCCTTCCGGAGGGCACTCCGCAGCAGTGACAAGGAGCGAGGAGGAGGAGGCGGAGGAGGTAGTTTGTGGCCATTCAAAACTGTGCCCAGGAGGGGCTGTGGGAGGGTTGGGTGGGTGAGATACCAATATGAGCACCTGGAGAGAGAGAGAGCGAGCGAGAGAGAGAGAGAGAGAGAGGGTAGGGTGGGGGGGGGGGGGGGTGGGAAGAGCAGAGATGGGTGACTGACTGACTGGCTGTGTGACTGACTAGTCTGGTCAACGACAGGGAGAGTTGAATGTCAACAGGCGGGCAGGGCAGGGCAGGGCAGGGCAGCAGGCACTTTGCATTGGAAGGCAATCGAATCATCCAAGAAAAAAAAATAAAGGGGAGACAAAAAGAAAAGAAAGACTGGGACTGAGCGCTGTATTGAATGAACTGACCGGACTAGTTGATGACAAAATATATAAATATAATCTCCCCCACCACCCACTCACTCACTCACTCACTCCCTCCTTTCTCCCCCTAACCCCCCCACCCCCCCAAAAAAATGGAAAAAGGAATAAAAAGAATAGATTTTGCTGTGACTGACAACAAACGATGACACACACACACACACACAAGACAAGAAGACTGACCAAATGAACAGTCAATGACCTCCTCCCCTCCTCCTCCTCCTCCTTCTCTCTCTATCAAAAAATTAATAACAATAAACGATTCCCCCCCAATAATAATAATAATAATAATTAATAATAATAATAATAATTTTTTTAAAAAAAATTGGGAGTTGGGAGTCACGGTATTAAATTAACAGTAATAATAATAATAATAATAAGCATTTTTTTGGAAAAAAATAGGGGAGGACAGAGAGAGAGAGAGGGAGAGAGAGAGTGTCACATTACACACAGGAGAAGTGTGTAAAATAATTGTTTGGGGGTTTTTTTTGTTAGGGGATCGGTTGAGGGGGGGGTTTGAGGGTGAGGGGAGGGGGGGGGAAAGGGGGGGTTTGAGGGGGTAAAAGGGGGGTTGGGAGAGGGGGTGGTGATGTGGGGGGGATGGGGGTTGGGTGGGAAGGGGGTGGTAAACCGCTATGCAAACCAGGCTGCGGCGGGCCTGGGGTGTGCCTGCTGCCCGCTGGGCCTGTGCCTGGGCCTGGGCTGGAGGAGCAGAGGCTGGTGCGATGACAGACCCACGGCTGCCCCTGTGCAGCCAGTGGCAGCCATTGTTGCCGCCCTCTCCTCCTCTCTCCTCCTCTCTCCTCCGCGCTCAGCAGCCGGACCGGAAGTCCGCCCTCCCCCTCCTCTGTGCTCAGCAGCCGGACCGGAAGTCCCGCACCCTCCTGCGCTCTCCCTGTGCTCAGCGCATACCGGAAGTTCCGCCCTCCCCCCTCCTCTCTCCCTGGGCTCATCAGCGGACCGGAAGTCCCGCCCTGCCCTCACTCCCTCACTCCTCCTCTCTCCCTGCGCTCAGCAGCGGACCGGAAGTCCCGCCCCCCACACTTGTTCCCGCCCTCGTCGCCGCGCTCCGATTGGCTGCCCGCGCCCCGTCGCTCAGCGGGACGCCCGCGCGCGCCGATTGGTCGCCCCCCTCCCCCCACCCACCCACCCGCCGCGGGGTCCCGCCCACCGCGCGCGCTGATTGGTCCCCCCGCGTGGGGCGGGAGGGCTCACGTCGACGACACTTCCGGTAGGGGAGAGTGAGAGGGGGGGGGAATTGGCAGTGACACAGAGAGAGAGAGAGAATGATGGAGAGAGTGTGACAATTCCTCAGAGAGAGAGAGAGAGAATGGTGGAGAGAATGTGACAATTCCTCAGAGAGAGAGAGAGAGAAGGATGGAGAGAGTGTGAGAGAGAGAGAGAAGGATGGAGAGAGTGTGACAATATCCCAGAGAGAGAGAGGATGGAGAGAGTGTGACAATTCCCCAGAGAGAGAGAGAGAAGGATGGAGAGAGTGTGACAATATCCCAGAGAGAGAGAGGATGGAGAGAGTGTGACAATTCCCCAGAGAGAGAGAGAGAAGGATGGAGAGAGTGTGACAATATCCCAGAGAGAGAGAGAGAGAAGGATGGAGAGAGTGTGACAATTCCTCAGAGAGAGAGAGAGAGAAGGATGGAGAGAGTGTGACAATTCCCCAGAGAGAGAGAGAGAAGGATGGAGAGAGTGTGACAATATCCCAGAGAGAGAGAGGATGGAGAGAGTGTGACAATTCCCCAGAGAGAGAGAGAGAAGGATGGAGAGAGTGTGACAATATCCCAGAGAGAGAGAGAGAGAGAGAAGGATGGAGAGAGTGTGACAATACCCCAGAGAGAGAGAGAGAAGGATGGAGAGAGTGTGACAATACCCCAGAGAGCGAGAGAGAAGGATGGAGAGAGTGTGACAATACCCCAGAGAGAGAGAGAAGGATGGAGAGTGTGACAATTCCCCAGAGAGAGAGAGAGAGAGACAATCCCGCAGAGAAAGAGAATGATAGAGCGAGTATGACAATTCTCCACAGAGAGAGAGACAATCCCGCAGAGAAAGAGAATGATGGAGAGAGTGTGACAATTCCCCAGAGAGAGAGAGAGAGAGACAATCCCGCAGAGAAAGAGAATGATAGAGCGAGTGTGACAATTCCCCAGAGAGAGAGAGAGAGAGAGAATGACAGAGAAAGAAAGACAATACCCCAGAGAGAGAGAGAGAGAATGATAGAGAGAGAGAACGATAAACGGAGACAATCTTCTGGAGAGAGAGAGAGAGCGGGTGAGACACAGAGGGATAGAAAGATAGAAAGAGGGAGGAAATAATAATAATAATAATAATAAATAATAACCCTCGGATTTGATATAGCGCCTTATCACGTCTTCGAGACGTCTCAAAGCGCTTTGCTGTAAAGTCCATGGATTATATTTGGTGGACAAAATAGAGAGACGAGACGAACCCCCAGAGAGAGTTTACAAGACAACACAAAGTGACGCCAGGGAGGGTGGAGGGCAGAGAGGGTGGTCGAAGGTATGGTTGTAAGAAAGAGAGTCTCGAGCCGTGCCTTGAATAATAATAATAATAATAATCCTCGCATTCGATAGAGCGCTTTTCACGTCGGGAGGACGTCCCGAAGCGCTTCACAGAACGCACTGTAAAGTGAATTGACTGTATATTTGTGGGCAAACGCGGCAGCCGATTGCGCACAGCAATGTCCCACAAACAGTCGTAGATTGAAAATGACCAATTTATTATTGTTTTTGGTTTTGGAGGGATTATTATTAGGCTCTGTGTGGAGTAAGGAAACTTGCCCGAGGTTTCGCCCTCTGCCTGGAATTGAACTCAGGTCTCTCACTTGCAAAGCGAGTGCTCTAACCACTGAGCTACAGGACTGCACAAAGGAGGAGGCAAAGGAAGGGAGCGAGGCAAAGGGAATGTGGGATGGAGTTCCAGAGGGTGGGGTCACAAAGGCTGAAGGCCCGACCGCCGATGGCGGGGTGGACCGGGCGGGGGGGAGACGCGGAGCAGAGGGAGTGGACAAGGTTGGTAAGGGGGTGAGCAGGTCGGAGAGGTAGGAGCGGGCGAGGATGGTGGAGGGCGCCTTGAAGGTGAAGACGGGGCTTTTGAACTTGATCCTCTGGGGGATGGGGAGCCGATGGAGCCGGGCGAGGGTGGGGGTTGATGGGGTCGTGGTGCCGGACAAGGGTGAGGATGATGGGGATCGTGGAGCCTGGTGCGGGGGAGAGGACACAAGCTGCGGAGGTCTGGAATGATCTGCAGCTCGTGTAGGGAAGAGTTGGGAAGGCCGTCAAGGAGGGAGTCGGTGTAGTTGAGACACAGATAGAGGGAGGAAAAAGAGAGAGAGAGAGAGAGAGAAAGGAGGAGGAAAAAGAGAGACCCCAAGAGAAAGAGATACACAAATTATACAATAATAATAATTTTATTTGATATGGCGCCTCATCACGTCCTTGAGACATCTCAAACCGCTTCACAGGATATACTGTAAAGTGTAGTGACAATCCCCGAGTGAAAGTGAAGGAGAAAATCCCCCACAGAGAGAGAGAGAGAGAGTGAGGGAGACAATTCCCCAAAGAGAGAGAGAGATAGAGATAATCTCCCAGAGAGAGAGTCCTGGACGAGGGACAACTTACTCCAACGCCACGTTGGCAAGACCGAGGCCCTCCTGATTGGCTCGCGCCAGCGCCTCCACACCTCGGGCGCTGGTAGCGTCAGCCTCCACGGCTACACACTCAACCTCACAAAGCCGGTCAGGAACCTGGGTGTCTTGTGTGACCCTGAACTGTCCTTTCTTCCTCGACATCCGCCCCTTGACCGGCGCTGCCTACCACCACCTCCGCAACGTTGCCAGACTCCGCCACTGCCTCACCCCTCAGGCTGCCCAAACCCTCACCCGCGCACTCGTCACGTCAAGGCTCGATGACGGAAACGCCCTCCTCATCGGCCTTCCCAACTCTTCCCCTCACACTCCAGTGGTTCCCCATCCCCCAGAGGATCGAGTTCAAGATCCTCGTCCTCACCTTCAAGGCCATCCATGGCATTGCCCCCTCCTACGTCTCTGACCCGCTGACTCCCTACCAACCTGCCCACTCCCTCCGTTCATCGGGCTCCAGTCTGCTCCATGACTCCCGCCCGACCATCGGTGGCCGGGCTTCCAGCCTCTCTGCCCCCACACTCTGGAACTCCATCCCACGGTCCCTTGGCCTCGCGTCCTCCCCTCACCTCCTTCGAGGCCGGTCTCAAGACCCTTCTCTTGGACCGTCCCTTTGGTCTCCTCCATTCTCCTCCAAAATGTAATTTTGTTGTTGTTGTTGTGCTTGAGTGAGTGTGGGGGAGGTGTGAGTGAATGCATGGGGTGGGGGTGAGTGTGTGGGGTAGGGGAGTTTGAGTGAGTGTGTCGGGGAGGGGGTGAGCGAGTGAGTTTGTGGAGTGCGTGAGTATGTGTTGGGTGTGTGTGAGTGAGTGTATGCGGGGGTGTGAGTGTATGTGGGGGGATGTGAGTGAGTGTGGGGGGTGTGAGTGTGTGTGTGGGGGTCTGTGTGAGTGTGTGGGGGGGTGTGAGTGAGTGTGGGGGGTGTGTGAGTGTGTGGGGGGGTGTGAGTGGGAGTGTGTGTGTGGGGGGTGAATGAGTGAGTAAATGGGGGGGGGGAGTGAGTGAGAGTGTGTGGGGGGGTGAGTGAGTGTGTGAGGGTGTGTGTGTAAGGGTGGGGGGCTGTGAGTGAGTGTGTGTGGGGGTGTGTGTAAGGGTGGGGGGGCTGTGAGAGTGTGTGTGGGGGGGTGTGAGTGAGTATGTGAGTGAGTGAGTGAGTGTGTGGGGGTGTGTGTAAGGGTGGGGGGGCTGTGAGAGTGTGTGTGGGGGTGTGTGAGGGTGTGTGAGGGTGGGAGGTGGCTGTGAGTGAGTGTGAGTGGGGGCACGGGGGTGTGAGTGTGTGTGTGGGGTGGTGTGTGAGGGTGGGGGGGGCTGCGAGTGAGTGTGAGTGAGTGTGTAAGGGGCGGGGCTGTGAGGGAGTGTGTGTGGGGAGGTGTGAGAGTGAGTGTGTGTAGGGGTGTGTGAGTGTGAGTGGGGTTGTGAGTGTGTGTGTGGGGGGGTGTGAGTGGGGGGTGTGTGAGTGTGTGTGAGTGGGGGGGGTGTGAGTGAGTGTGTAAGGGGCGGGGCTGTGAGTGAGTGAGTGTGTAAGGGGCTGTGAGTGAGTGAGTGTGTAAGGGGCGGGCTGTGAGTGAGTGTGAGTGTGTAAGGGGCGGGGCTGTGAGTGAGTGCGTGTGTAAGGGGGCGGGGCTGTGAGTGAGTGTCAGCGAGTGAGTGTGTAAGGGGGCGGGGCTGTGAGTGAGTGTGAGTGAGTGTGTAAGGGGCAGGGCTGTGAGTGAGTGTGTAAGGGGGCGGGGCTGTGAGTGAGTGTGTAAGGGGCAGGGCTGTGAGTGTGCGTGTGTAAGGGAGCGGGCCTGTGAGTGAGTGAGTGTCAGTGAGTGAGTGTGTAAGGGGGCGGGGCTGTGAGTGTGAGTGTGTAAGGGGCGGGGCTGTGAGTGTGAGTGAGTGTGTAAGGGGCGGGGCTGTGAGTGTGAGTGAGTGTGTAAGGGGGTGGGGCTGTGAGTGTGAGTGAGTGTGAGTGAGTGTGTAAGGGGGCGGGGCTGTGAGTGTGAGTGAGTGTGTAAGGGGGCGGGGCTGTGAGTGAGTGAGTGTGTAAGGGGACGGGGCTGTGAGTGTGAGTGAGTGAGTGTGAGTGTGTAAGGGGACGGGGCTGTGAGTGAGTGAGTGAGTGTGTAAGGGGGCGGGGCTGTGAGTGTGAGTGAGTGAGTGTGTAAGGGGGTGGGGCTGTGAGTGTGAGTGTGTAAGGGGGTGGGGCTGTGAGTGTGAGTGAGTGTGAGTGAGTGTGTAAGGGGGCGGGGCTGTGAGTGTGAGTGAGTGTGTAAGGGGGCGGGGCTGTGAGTGAGTGAGTGTGTAAGGGGACGGGGCTGTGAGTGTGAGTGAGTGAGTGTGAGTGTGTAAGGGGACGGGGCTGTGAGTGATTGAGTGAGTGTGTAAGGGGGCGGGGCTGTGAGTGTGAGTGAGTGAGTGTGTAAGGGGGTGGGGCTGTGAGTGTGAGTGAGTGAGTGTGTAAGGGGGCAGGGCTGTGAGTGTGAGTGAGTGTGTGAGGGGGCGGGGCTGTGTGAGTGAGTGTGTAAGGGGGCGGGGCTGTGAGTGAGTGTGAGTGAGTGTGTAAGGGGCGGGGCTGTGAGTGTGAGTGAGTGTGTAAGGGGGCGGGGCTGTGAGAGTGAGTGTGTGAGGGGGCGGGGCTGTGTGAGTGAGTGTGTAAGGGGGCGGGGCTGTGAGTGTGAGTGAGTGAGTGTGAGTGAGTGTGTAAGGGGGCGGGGCTGTGAGTGTGAGTGAGTGTGTAAGGGGGCGGGCTGTGAGTGTGAGTGAGTGAGTGTGAGTGAGTGTGTAAGGGGGCGGGGCTGTGAGTGTGAGTGAGTGTGAGTGAGTGTGTAAGGGGGCGGGGCTGTGAGTGTGAGTGAGTGTGTAAGGGGGCGGGGCTGTGAGTGTGAGTGTGAGTGAGTGTGAGTGAGTGTGTAAGGGGGCGGGGCTGTGAGTGTGAGTGAGTGTGTAAGGGGCGGGGCTGTGAGTGTGAGTGAGTGAGTGAGTGTGTAAGGGGGCGGGGCTGTGAGTGTGAGTGAGTGAGTGAGTGTGTAAGGGGGCGGGGCTGTGAGTGAGTGAGTGAGTCGCGCCTATAGCCCAAAAAAGCCGCCCAAAGTAGCCCAGCAGTGGCGAGGCCCTGTGTGAGTGTGTGAGTGAGGGTGAGTGTGTGGGGGTGTGTGAGGGTGAGTGTGTGTGGGGGTGTGTGAGGGGGTGTGTGAGGGTGAGTGTGAGGGGGTGTGTGTGGGGGGGTGTCAGGGCCATACCGGGGCTGTCAGGGGGGGGGGGCGGCCTTTAACACGGTTTTAACATCTTAAAGAGTAATTAGGGCTCCGAAACCCCACCCCCACCCCCACAGGTCTGTGTCCCTGTCTGTGTCTCTGACCCCAGCGGCTTGTGTGGGGGGGGGGGGTAGTGGGAGTAGGGGGGGGGGGTTGGAGCTGAGGGGCCTGAGACCCCGACGCCGAGGCCGCCCGGGGCCTGGGGGGGGTGGGGGTGGGGGGGGTTAAAGGTGTGAGGCCTAGGCTCGGGGTTCAGGCCTGGGGTTGGGGTGGGCTGAGGGCTGTGGGGGTGAGAGGGGTGTGTGTGTGTGTGGGGGGGGGGGGGGGGGGGGGGGGGCCTGGGGTTGGGCTGTGAGGGGTTGAAGCCTTTTGACTGGGGTTTGATTTGAGGTTGGGGTGGGGGGGTGTGTGGGTGGGTGGGGGGGGGGGGGGTGGGGGGAAGGTTTAGGGGCAGGGGTTGGGGGTCGGGGGCCGAGAGTCGGGGTGGGGGGGTTGAGGATTGGGGACGGGCTGAGGGTCGGGGGGACGAGGGGTCGGGGATCGGGGTCGGGGTCCCGAGGGTTGGGGTCGGAGGTTGGGGTTAAGGAGGGGGGTGGGGGGGCCGGAGCGGCCCCTGAGCCGGGGATGTCGGAGGCCGAGTGCGAGGAGTGGATCCTGGAGACCATCGACTCGCTGAGGTCCCGGAAGGCGAGGCCCGACGAGGAGCGCATCTGCCGACTGGTGGCCCGGAGGCACGGCCTGTCTCCCAGCCGCGCCCGCCGGGAGCTGGAGCGCCTGCTGAGGAGCCGGGCCGTGCTCAGGGTCTCCTACAAGGGCTCGCACTCCTACCGCAACGCCGGCAAATGGCGGCCGGCCCGGCGGGGGGAGCCGGGGGGACCCCGGGCCGGGGGAGACGACGGCGCCGGAGGAGGAGGAGAGACGGCGGCGGCGACGGGTCGATCCCGGAGGAGCGGGGACCAAGGGGACCGAGTGAGGGACTTGCCGGATCGGTCTCGGAGGAGCGCGGACCCGCCGGATCGGACCAAGCGGAGCAGGGACAGGGCGGGCCGGGCCAGGGATCCAGAGCCGGACCGAGCCAGGAGGAGCGCCGACGGCTCGGAGCAGGCGGATCCCCCGGAGCAACCCAGCGGGAGCGGGGACCAGGCTCAGGCGGAGCCAGCCAGGGCGGGCGCGGAGCGAGGCCGGAGGAGCGGCGACCCGGGGGAACGCAGGGACGGAGCAGGAGACCCCGGGGACGTGCTGGTGGGGGCCCTGCGGGAGCTGGGCGAGCTGGAGGGGGCCGGGGTGGGAATCGGGGAGATCTCGCGGCTGATGTCGGACCGGCAGAGGGTGCTGACCCGGGCGCAGCTCCGCACGGCGCTGGAGTGGGAGGTGAACCAGGGTCGGATCCGGAGAACTCCGGAGGGGAATTACACCCTCTCTCCGGTCAAGAGGAGACTCCGAGCACAAGCCATACCCCCCCAACGGAAGGTGAGTGTCCTGCACTGGCTGGAGTCCTGTCGCTCAATGGTTGGAGCACTTGCCATGTGAGTGAGAGGAACTGGGTTCGATTCCCGGGTGGGGTCAGGGCGACAGTTTTCCTCACTCCACACGTGCTGTTAAGTCGATAGGCGGATCGCTTTTCCGGGGGGTAATAACCCCTTCAAATAAAAAAAATAAAAAAATTGGTTCACTTCAATCCACGACTGTCTGCTGTGTAGCAGTTGGCTGCCCTGTTGCGCCCACAAAACACACAGTCACTACACTCGACGGTGGATCCTTTGAAAAGCGCTCGGAGCCGTCTCGAAGACGCGATACGTCTGCGTTACATCTGAATGCGGGGATTGCGCACAGGAGTAGTAGCGTCCCACAAACCGTCGTAGATTGAGTCGCCGCGTTTGTATTATCTTAAACATCTTAGATTTTTAAATTTTAAGGGATTAAAATTTTAAGGGATTTACCCCCAGGAAACCCAATCTGCCGATCGACTAACAACCGTGTCCCTGCATGATAACAACACAATTACATTTGTACAGTACCCCTTGCGTCGGGAGGACGTAGGGGAGGAAGGCGCTATATCAAATGCAAGGATTATTATTATTTAATTGCGGCGTCTTTGTGTCTCCAAACAAAAACAGACCAGAAGAACGAAGGAGGTAGACACCCCGGCCAGTGCTGAGGAACGGGCCGGGCAATCGAAGGAGGATTCGGCGAAACAAGCGAGCGAGGACGAGGCCTGTGGGGCCGGCGACAAGGAGCGTCCTCCCAGCGACGATTCCATCGACCGGCCGGCAGACAGAGATGGTCCTGACGAAAAAGAGGTCAGCGTTGGGAAACACCCAGTTGTGGAGCCTGGTAACCCCAACACGGCCGATAAGCAGCGGCTTCCTGTTAGCCCACGCGCTGAGAGCCTCCGGGCCAAGATGGAGCTGCAGACCGTGCAAGAGCCACCTGGCGTTGGTCAAACCCCAGGGAAGGATGAGACCGAGTTTGGTTCCACAACCCCTGAAGAGCTGTCGACGGAGGTCGGGAACAACACCTCATCTGCCCGGAAATCGTGCGTCAGTCAAGGTAGGTTCAGAGTTTCTAGACTATTAATAATAATAACAACAATCGTTGCATTTGAGACGTCACAAAGCGCTTCACATAATACACTGTAACCCGAATTGACGGTATATTTTGTATATTTCGCGAAACGCGGCAGCCAATTGCGCACAGCCGTGTCCCACAAACAGTCGTGGATTGAGTGACCAATTTATTATTTTTTTTAAGAAATTGTTACCCGCCAATCGACTTAACAACCAAGTTCCGACTTACTCCACACTCCTCCGTTTAACTGTCATTAAGGAAACTTGCCCAACGTTTCACCTTGCCCAGGATTCGAGCCCGGGTCCTCTCGCTTGCGAGTCGAGTTCTAACCATTGAGTTGCAAGACTCAATAAATAATAATAATAATAATCCGTGCATTTGATACTGGGTTCCTACTTACTGGTAGGAAACAGGAACGTGGAGTAAGTAAACTTACTCCACAACTTTATGACACAGAGGGGAGAGCACTACTGACCGAGACAGACTGACACAACATAATATTAATAATAATACTTGTATTTATTATAGAGCCTTATCACGTCTTTGAGACGTCCCACAGTGCTTCACAGAATATACTGCAAAATGAATTGACTGTATATTTTTGTGGGTGAAACTCGGCAGCCAAACAGTGTCCCACAAGCAGTCGGGGATTGAGCGATGAACGTATTATTATTATTATATTTTTTGAAGGAATTATTTGGATGTGATGAGTAAGATTACAATGCAGCTTTCTTCCTCTTCCCAATGTGTACGGCCTGGATATAACTCCGAGGAAGTTGTGTGTGTGTGTATGCGCGCGAATGTGGAGACCTGTAGTTCAGTGGTTAGAGCACTCGCCCCGCAAGCGAGAGGACCTGGGTTCAATTCCTGGGCAGGGTGAAAAATTACAATTGGCTGCCGCGTTTCGCCCACAAAATATAGTCAATTCACTTTCCAGTACTCTGCATTCCGGGAAGCGCGTTGAGACGTCTCAAAGGTATAAAACGCAAGTGTTAGTATTGTGTGAAAATGGGATTTCACTTACGTTCAACTCTCACAAGTTATGATTTCTGCAAATTGAGTTTCTGCCTCGTTCTTTCACGCAGGAAAAGAATCTTCTGACGTGTCGGTCACCGGCTGGGAGACATTCACTGAGGGGCTGACACACAGCACAGAGCAAGTGAGTGGCTCATGGGCATTTGCTATTTCTGATGAAAAGTCATAGACCTGAAAAGTTAACTCATTTTCTTCTCTCCACGGATGCTGCCTGACTGACCTGCTGCTTGTTCCCAGCGGCTGAGTTTATGTCAGATTGCCATTTTGGCATTTGCTATTTGTTTGCTCCAAGTCTATTCTAGATACAGGGATATTTAATAATAAACCTTGCATTTGATATATTGCACCTTATCGCGTCATTAAGACTTCACAGAATATTTAATTCACTTTACAGCATATTCTTCTTTCTCGAAGGGCTTTGTGATGTCTCAATGACGTGGTGAGAAGCTGTATCAAGTGCAGATTATTATTATCAATGTGTTGCAAAATAGGATTGACTGTGTATTTTGTCGGTGAATTGCGGACAGGCAATCACGCACAGCAACGTCCCACAAACAGTCGTGGCTTGAAGGACCAAATTTTATTTCTTGATTTATTTTTTGGCAGTGATTATTAGCTCAGGAAAAGTGATCCATCAATTGACTAACAACCGGGTTCCTACTTACTGCTCGAGGCAGTGTGGAGTAAGGAAACTTGCTTAAGCATTCCAACTCTGTTGTCCACTCTGCTATCCGTTCCTGTGAATGCATCCCCACTCATTTAAATAATAATAATCCGAGCATTTGATACAGCGCCTTATCTCGGCGTTGAGACGTCTCAAAGAGTTTCACACAACATAGTGTAAAGTGGAGTGACTGTGTATTTTGTGGGTATTTTGAACCCTTAGTTTGGATCTTTTCCCTATTGTCTCCCAGAAGAATTGCTTGAGATTGAGCGCTGTTTGTGCGCGCATACGCACGGATTCACTTCACAAGAGTCTGCTTTTTTTTCCAGAGACTCACTGAAGCGAGCGAGAGCGTGACCTGCCTTCAGCAAGGTACCAGGTTGACTGAAGGTAAGGCTGAGGCTGCAACAACAACAAATGAGGTTCACAAAGCACATTTCACGTCAAGGCGCTTGGACAGTCAGAGATTTGGACCCGAGTTGGGTGGGCTGGGATCAGGAGGGGGCGGAGGGTGGTGGGGTAGGGTTAGGAAGGTGGCCAAAAGCACGGTCGAAGAGGAGGGTCTTGAGATGGACCTCGAAAGAAGCAAGAGAAGGGAGCGAAGGCGGAGGGACTGTGAGATGGAGTTCCGGAGGGCGGGGGCAGATTGAGAAACCGATGGTGGAGCGGGCCGGGCGGGGGTCGGAGGGAGCGGAAAGGTTGATACGGGGTTAGCAGGTCACAAAGGTAGGGAGGGGGCAAGCCGCAGCCTCCAATTTACCTGCGTCTTGACGGGAGCAGCACAGTTTATCACACAGCGCATTCCACGCTCCCACAGAGACTCTGCAGTTTGATAAGCAACTGGTCAAGTCGGTAGTTATTTCACGTCCTCCCGACGCGAGAGGCGCCGTGCAAATGTCAAGTTGTTGTGGCGTTTTACCGCTTCCTGCAACAGGACCGAAAAACCCCGCGGAGCGGTTTTTTTCACGCGTTATTTTACCCTTCAGCCCCCGCACGAAGGGGGCTCGACGCAAAATGCAAGTTGTCGTCGACGTCGTCGTGCTTGTGCGGGGAGTAGAGTAGGGAAACAGCAGAAGAGTCCCGTGGCTCGGTGGTTAGAGAGCCCCCGCCTCGCAAGCGGAGCGACGGGGGTTTGGTTGCTGAGCAGATCATCGGGGCGAAACCTTGGGCACGTTTCCTTACGCCTCCCGCGCACGCACCCCAACCCCAACCCCAACCCCAATCCCAATCCCAACCCCAACTCTAATTTGGGTCACTTCAACCCACGACCGCTGCGCGGGGGGGGAGGGGCGCCGCTGGGCCCGATTGGCCGCCGCGTTTCGCCCGCAAAACAGAAGCGCGAGGGACCCGACGTGAGGGTTATTATTATTAGTTGTTGTGGTTGTGGTGATGATGATTGTTTATTGTTGTGGCTGCCATTGTATTGTCATTCTTCCTCTTCCTCCTCCCACCTCCGTGGGTGACGTCAGCACGCACGCAACGCCCGCTTCACTCGGAGCAGCGGCGCGCTGACGTCCTCCCTTACGCTGGCGCGCGCGCGGGGAGTGGGGGGGGGGGGGGAGGGAGACGACGCGCTGACGTTTGCGCTGTGCGCGCGGGCGGGGGGGGGGGGAGAGACGGCGCGCTGACGTAATGACGCCGAGGCTCGGTGCTGTGTGTGTGTGTGTGTGGCGCGGAGCGGGCAGCGCATGCGCAATGGCGGGGTGCGGGCCGGGTTCCCGGAGCGGCGGTTGCCGTTTGGCGGCGGCAAGCGCGGGCGGGTCTCCTCTGATGGCGGCGGAGAGGTAAGGGGCGGTCTGGCGGACCGTGCCCAGACCTGCCGCTTTCTCTCTCTCTCTCTCTATCCCTCCCTCCCCCGTCGCCCTCTCGCTCGCTCGTTCATTACCCCGCCTCCGCCATTGGTGGGAGCCGCAACCTAACCCGCTGGTGGGGCTGCCCGCCCGCTCAGGCTTGTGTGAGAGGTCGGGCTGATCACGTGACGGCGCCGCTCACCCGGCTGACCACGTGTGCGGGGAGGGGTGGGTTGGGGGGGGCGGTGTCGACAAACCCGACCGATCGATGGGGGTGGACGACCAGGCCGATCACGTGATGGTGGCGGCGACCCAGGCCGATCACGTGACGGTGGCGGCGACCCAGGCTGATCACGTGACGGTGGCGACATCCAGGCCGATCACGTGGTGTGTAATGACCAGGGTTGTTTTCTGGGGGCAACAATAATAATAATAATAATAATAATAATAATAATAATTCTTACATTGGACGTTTTGCGCCTTTTCCACGTGTTTGAGACGGCTCGAAGCGCTTGGCGGGGCACTCTGGAAAGCGAAAGGCAGTGTATTATTAATAATATTTGTGATTGTAACAGTCAAAATTGTTTTTTACAATAATTATTTTCTTCAGAAAAGACATTCATTGAAGAAAAATGAAATTATTGCTGCTCTTGTCAATCAGTTATAACTACATCCTGTAGCTCAGTAGCTCAGTGGTTAGAGCACTCGCTTTGCAAGTGAGAGACCTGAGTTCAATTCCAGGCAGAGGGCCAAACCTCGGGCAAGTTTCCTTACTCCACACAGAGCCTAATAATAATCCTCCAAAACCAACAACAATAATAAATTGGTCATTTTCAATCTACGACTGTTTGTGGGACATTGCTGTGTGCAATTGGCTGCCGCGTTCGCCCACAAATATACAGTCAATTCACTCTACAATGTGTTCTGTGAAGCGCTTTGGGACGTCCTTCCGACGTGAAAAGCGCTATATCAAATGCAAGGATTATTATTATTATTATTAATTAATGGTGTCAAGCAGTGATCAATTATTCACGATAATAGTTATACATTACAGCAGTAATGTTCGTGGGTCACTGCTGTGCGCAGTTGTGGAGTCCTGTGGCTCAGTGGTTTGCAAGTGAGAGACCTGGGGTTCAATTCCAGGCAGAGGGCGAAACCTTGGGCCAAGTTTCCTCACTCCACACAGAGCCTAATAATATTCCCTCCAAAACCCAAAACAATAATAAATTGGTCATTTCCAATCCACGACTGTTTGTGGGGACACCGCTGTGCGCAATCGGCCGCCGCGTTTCGCCCACAAATATACAGTCACTTCACTTTACAGTCTATTCTGTGAAGCGCTTTGAGACGTCGAGAGGACGTGAAAAGCTCAATATCAAATGCACTATATTATAATTGGCTGCCGTTTTCGCCCACAAAATGCATTCGCTACACTTTACAGTATAATATAATAATCCTTGCACTTGACATTGCACCTTAACCACGTCTTCCAGACGTCTACTGAAAGGTGAGTATTTAGTATATTCTGTGAAGCACTTTGAGGCGTCTCAACGACTTGGGGCGCTATATATAATGTATTATATATTAATAATAAGTGATTATTATTATAATTAGGTTTTTCACACAGGGAATTGTTACGTTGGGTGTAACAACCAGGTTTCCTCACCACTTGTGAAGAATTTCGAGATTTGGTAGTTGCTATATTGGGATCGGGAGAGGTGGAGGACAGGGAGGGTACGGATGGGAAGGTGACTAACGGCGCGGAGGAGCATCTTCAGATCGACTTTCCTCTTCAGCGGCGCCTGCTGCCGGCTCCCCTTTCTCCCCGGCTCGACCTCAACCTCCACCGTTATTCAGCGTTCCAAGACAGATGGTGTTAATTGACTCTGGACCTGGGCAATAGGAACAGAAGGAGGCCATTCAGCCCCTCGAGCCTGTTTCTCCATTCCGTTAGATCATAGCGGATCTGTACCTCAACTCCCATTTCCCCGCCTTTTATTCCCATGTCCCACGTTTCGCCCACAGAACGTACAGTCAATTAACTTTACAGCATATTCTGTGAAGCGCTTTTGAGACGTCTCGAGGACGTGATGAGGCGCCATATCAAATGCGAGGATGATTATTATTGTTGTTATAATACCCTGACCTAACAAAGATAACAGTGTCGCAACTTGGTATCCTCTGATTGAAACAGTTCTTGAAACGCTGGCGTGTTTTGCGTACGTTTTCTCCGTTCAGGCCCCTGTCTGTCCTGTGACAGTAAGCTCCTTGGCGAAGACGGCACTATGTTGCTGCCCCGGCTCCCTTCAGCCACCGCAAGTCCCAAACACCAACTGCTAGAGGCAGCAGCTGAAGATTCAAGCTCCAATAGCAGACACTCGGGTAAGCTCGAAAAGATCCTGTGGAGTCCTGTAGCTCAGTGGTTAGAGCACTCGCTTTGCAAGTGAGAGACCGGAGTTCAATCCCAGGCAGAGGGCCAAACCTTGGGCAAGTTTCCTTACTCCACACAGAGCCTAATAATAATCCCTCCAAAGCCAAAAAACAATAATAAATTGGTCATTTTCAATCTACGACTGTTTGTGGGACATTGCTGTGCGCAATTGGCTGCCGCGTCCGCCCACAAATATACAGTCAATTCACTTTACAGTGTGTTCTGTGAAGCGCTTTGGGACGTCCTCTCGACGTGAAAAGCGCTCTACCAAATGCAAAGATTATTATTATTCCTCGGGAAAGATACATTGGCCCTGGAGGGGGTGCAGCGCAGGTTCACCAGAATGTTACCAGGCCTGAAAGGGTTAAGTTACGAGGAAAGGCTGCGAAAACTTGGATTGTATTCCCTTGAGTTTAGAAGGTTTGAGGGGTGGATTTGATTGAGGTGCTTAAGATGACGGACTGTGGTAAGTCAGGGTGTCAAGGGATACGGGGAAAAGCAGGGAATTGGAATTGACAGGATTAGTTGGGTCCAGATCGGCCATGAATGGCGGAATTGGCTGGAAGAGCCTCGTCCTGTTCCTATGTGCGTAGGGGATAAGGTGCTGTGTCAAATGCGAGGATTATTATTATTATTATTTTGACATTTGCTCCCTCTCGACAGTTTCTGAGGTGGGAGCTGCTTCGTGTCTGCTCACACCATCAGCATCTCCAGTAGAGATGGTTCCTGAAGAGAACGGTTCCACAGACAGACATCGGTAAGTGACTCGGATAATCATAGAATCATAGAATATTACAGCACAGGAGGCCATTCTGCCCAACATTTCCGTGCAGGCTACCTAACTAGACCCACTCCCCCGCTCTTTCCCCATATCCTTGTAAATTTGCCCTTTTCATGGACCTTTCCAATTCCCTTTTGAAAGTATTATCGAATCTGTTTCCACCAGGCAGTGCATTCTAGACCGTAACAACTCTCTGGTGTGTAAAAAAATATTCTCCTCATCTCCCCTCTGGTTCTTTTGCCAATTATCTGTTTCCTCTGGCTATCGACCCACACCTTCCTGCCAGAGGAAACAGTTTCTACTCTTATCAGAACCACTTATAATTGTCAGACCTCTATTCAATCTCCCCTTAACCTTCTCTGCTCTAAGGAGAACAATCCCAGCTTCCCAGTCTCTCCACATAACTCAAGTCCCTTATCTCTGGTAACGCTCTGGTAAATCGTAAAATAGTCTGTGCTTTCAACCACAACACTAAGGATCAGTGTCCCATAGCGTAGTGGTTAGTGTGCTTGCCTCACAAGAGAGAGGACCCGAGTTCGATTCCCGGACGGATTGGAGCGAAACCTTCGGCAAATTTCCTCACTCCACACACAGTCAATTCACTTTACAGTATATGCTATGAAGCGCTTTGAGACGTCTCGACGACGTGATAAAGACGCTGTATCAAATGCGAGGATTATTATTACATTGTTATGATGATGATGTCGCTTCTCCAAACAGGCTAGAAGAGAATGGGAAGCCCTTAGATCCGACTGAATGGAGCATTGCGGATGTGGTGAATTATTTCAAAGAGGCTGGATTTCCAGACCAGGCGAAAGCCTTCGAGGACCAGGTCAGTGAGGGGACAGTTCACAGTCCAGGGCAACCAGAGGGATTCTTGGTTGTTTTAAGCTCTCAGACGTTAGAATTGACTGCCACGTTTGGCCCGCAAAATACACAGTCGGTTTACAACAACAACAACAACAAGATTTCATTTATAGAGCGCCTTTCATGTCGGGAGGACGTCCCGAGGCGCTGGACAGTTGGGTCAGGACCCGAGCATTGGGGGGGAAATGGTCAGGGTGAGGGGAGGTGTTGGTGAGAACACGCAGCAGGTCAGGCAGCATCTATGGAGAGAGGAAAATGAGTTAACATTTCAGGTCGATAACAACAGGTCATCAACCTGAAATATCGACTCATTTTCCTGCAGCTATGGATGATCTGGAAGGATGGCACCTCTGACAATGCACCACAAGATATACTGTACACTGGATATCTGTGTATTTTTGGGGGCGAAATCTACCAGAGCGTCATCTCATGAAAAGCTTTTGAGATATCTCGGGAGATGCGATAAGGCGCCATATCAAATGCAAGGATTATTACTACTATCATTATTATTACGAACCTTCAACAGAGAGCACCTCGCAGTAAGTAGGGACCTGGTTGTTAGTCGATGGGCGGATCACTTTTCCGGGGGTAATAATCCCTTCCGAAAATAATAATAATAATAATAAATCGGTCACTCAATCCACGGCTGTTTGTGGGACGGACGCTGCTGTGCGCAATTGGCTGCCACGTTTCACCCACAAAACACACAGTCAATTCGCTTTACAGCGTTATCCTGTGAAGCGCTTTGGGACGTCTCGGAAGACGTGATAAGGCGCTGGGTCAAGCGCAAGAATTATTATTTCAATTTTTCCTTATTACTAACCCGACAGGAGATCGACGGCAAGTCTCTGCTCCTGATGAAGAGGAACGACGTGCTGACGGGGCTGGAGATTAAGCTGGGGCCGGCCCTGAAGATATACGAGTATCACATCAAAGTGCTGCAGTTACACCACTTCAACAATGAAGCCACCTCCTGCTGAGGCGATCGATGGATTGACAGGGTCCTCTCTTTTGCACTCACGCTCAGCCTCCAATCCGGGCTTAATGGTTTGATGGGGGAGCGGTGGGGTTCGGGGTGGGGTTGGGGCGGGGGGAGGAGGCGGGGAAAGTAGGGAGGGGTTGAAACCACCCAATTTTTAAAGGACCAAAAAAAAACAGCTTGTTGTACATTAATGCCACTAGAGGAGGGAAAGACTGCAAGCAATAAATAAGGGAATGAAGTGCCGGGGAGCCGGAGAGCAATGCTACGCTGTTCTGCTCTGCTCTACACTCACTGATTCTCTCTCCAAACCGCTACTGATGTTGTAGAACCAAGGTGGGGTGTCTGGGCTTCCTGCCCCCACCCCTAAACTTGGCGGACTGGAGGCAAGTCCCTGTCATCTCCTCTTCCTCTCGCCTCCAGACAGACGTGGCACTCTATAACTGGCCGGGACAACAACAACTAACATTTACACACTGCCTTCACGTCAGGAGGACACGCTCCGAGGTGCTGGATGGATGGACAGTCGGGGATTTGTACCCGAGCTGGGGGGTTGGGGGTGGGAGGAGGATCAGGGAGAGGTGGAGGGCAGGGAAGGTGGGGTTAGGAAGGTGGACCGAAGGCGAGGGCGAAGAGAAAGACGCCCAAGCAAGCGGAGAAGCCTCAGGATTTTCGTCCTCCTTAACCGGTCACCCCCAACACAACGTTAAAAGCCACCGGCTCGGTTTTGGTAGCGAGCAGGCGCAGGTAAGCAATAATAATCTGAGGCTGGATGTGCAGCGAGCAGTGTTGTGCCTGCCAACCTCGCTGAGGTGAGGAAAGCTTTCTGTTCGAAGGGAACCTCTCTCTCTCTCTCTCTCTCCCTCCCTCCCTTTCCTCCACCCTGTTATAATAATCGTCCTCGCATTTGACACAGCGCCTCATCGCGTCTTCGAGACGTCTCGGAGCGCTTCAATGCACCCGTAAGGTGAGGCATTGACTGTATTTTGCGGGCGAAACTTCCTTCCGTTCCATCGCCACCCACCTCGCTCGCATCGTTCAATCGTCGTTAACGTTCGAGTTCTGTCCCCGGTTTTCTGTCTGCAGTTCTCTCTCCGTGTACCGTTCACTCCTGATCCTCACATCTAAGGTGGCGCTCCTTCCCATTGCCAACAGGCGCTGTGTAGCTGCTCCGAGCTCCAGAGAGAGAGAGAGAGAGAGTCCTGTTACACCTGTTTACCTGGCTCCGACCCAGTTTGGCAATGGAAAGGCAGATTCGAGTCAGCCCTCTGCGCTCTCTCTCTCTCTCTCTCTCTCTCTCTCTCTAGTCCAGAACCTGAGCGAGACATGTCTACAGTACTCCAAGGCCCTGTTGATGTTAGCCCAGCCCGGCCTGGCTCGTCGGCAGGACATGGAGGGGGAAGACTTGGGGAACAGGGATTCTTCCGCTCGACTCCTGTTAACTCCGGTATAATAATAATAATGATAATAATCATCCTTGCATTTGATACGGCGCCCTATCACACTGTTGAGGCGTCTCACAAGATACACTGTCAAGTGGATCGACTGTGTTTTGTAAGATTTCGTAATCCATTTGAAGACGCAATCTCTTTGTTGGCAACGCACGTCAGAATCTGGCCGTCACTCCACGGCTGTTTGTGGGGACGTCGCTGAGCGCAATTGGCTGCCGCGTTTCGCCCGCAAGGTATACAGTCAATTCACTTTACAGCGTATCCTGTGAAGCGCTTTGAGACGTCTGGAAAACGTGATCAGGCGCTGTGTCAAATGCGAGGATTATTATTATTATTATTATTAGGAGTAACCCACCGTGTACTGTACATACAGATTTTAAGCCTTAATTTCCCCTTCTATGTTACGTTAACTCTTACATCTTTTAAATGATAAGGTATAAAAGTCGTTTGTAAGGTAAAGCTATATTTACAGTCAGCGCTTTAAAAAAAACCTCCTTCACCGGCTTAAAACACTCAGTGGACTGTGCGCGCGCGTGTGTTTGTGTTTTTTAAAAAGACCCTATTTGCAGCTTCCTTTCAAGAACTCTTTCCTCAAAAAATCACCCCTCGGAAAGCACAGGATTGATTGTTTTGTCGACAGCGAACAGTCGTGGGTCGAGTGACCCAATTTATTTTTAGAGGGAGGGAGAGGAGGTTATTATTGCCCCGGAAAGCGATCTGTCAATCGACCAACAACCGGGTTCCCACTTACTGCTGGGTGAACAGAGGCGCGTGTATGCGTGTGCGCACGCGTGTGTGTGTGCGTGTGTGTGTGTGTGTGGAGTAAGGAAACTTGCCCAACGTTTCACCCTGACCTGCCCGGGAAGGGCACCCAGGTCCTCGCGCTTGCGAGGCGAGGGCTCTCACCGCTGAGCTGCGGGGACCCCCCCGATACGATCGACGGGCCACGTTTGGTGCGAGCGCTTCGTGTGGGGACAATCAGTTTGAGGGGATGGGGGAGAAAAGTGGGGGTCACTGCAGCCCGATCGGAGACGTCAAAACCGGCTTTGTGAGCGGTTGCGTGGATGCGTGCGCGTGCGTCTGTGTGCGCGCGCCTGCGTGCGTTCGTGCGAGTGCGCGCATGTGTGCGAATTGTTTTTATATATAAAGGAATAAATAAAAGCCATGTGGTCACGAACAGAAGGCGCGAGGGGTGAAAAGCCAGAGATCGTCGCGGGTTTATTTCGCTGCTCTTAAGCAAGCGCCGACTGATTGCTCGTAAACCGACTGGAAACGCTTCAATAATTTTTTTTGTTCGGTTTCGAAAATGAGCTCGCGCCCGATTTATCAGCCAATCTTTGGTCCAATAAAGGAAGTAAAATGTGCCCACCCTCTCTCGCTATTTTACCATCGGAGGTTTCAGCCCAACCTGGTGCAACACTTACTGGTTTTGTTCTGTGTCCAACAACAACTTGTGTTTACATCGAGTCCCGGTGATCCTCCTGACCCCCCTACCAACCCGCCCGTTCCCTCCGCCCTGCTCCACGTCCCCCCGACCCACCCGCCCCGCCATCGGCGGGAGAGCCTTCAGCCACTCTGCCCCACAACCGCTGGAACTCCATCCCCCGATCACTCCGCCTCACACCCTCCTCAGCCTCCTTCAAGTCCTGCCTCAAGACCCTCTTCAACTATCCCATCGGCCACCCCCCTTCCCCTCCCCTCCCCTCTCTTCTCACCCCCCCCCCCCCCCCACCGTACACTGTCCACCTTGGGACGTCCTCCCGACGTGAGAGGCGCTATACACATGTAATCTTCTTGTCGTCGTCGAAGGAAGATCTTCACGTGCGAAGGAGAACGCGAGGCGGAGGGAGGGAGGGAAGGAGGGATAGAGGAAAGAAGAGAGCCAGAGTTCCCGGGGGCGTAGCGGCTGAAAGCGCGGCCACTGATGGTGGAACGGAGGGCGCGATGGACAAGCAGGAGGCCCGGTGCCAGTCGAGCGGAGGCAGCGGGTCGTGGGCGGTTGAAGGAGACGAGAGCGAGCGAGCGAGGCCAAGGGACTGGGGTGGAGTTCCAAAGGGTGTGGGGGGGTGCGGGGGGGACAGAGAGGCTGATGGCCCGACCACTAATAACAAGACAAGCTGGACGGGGAACTCTGAGCAAACTGAGCGCTGAGCATCAACTTTAATTTCCGATATACGGCAATGAGACGAGGGCAGCAACAACCGGCACGATAGCTAACGGCAGAGACGCGCACGGAAGCGAGGAAACGTCTTCACTTTGGCAGCAAGCGCCTGCTGCGTCGCTGAAGCTAATTTCTCCCGTGCCGGAGACGAAGCCTTCGTCACGGGCAGAGGAAACCTCCCGGGGTGTTGTGGCAAAGGGCGTTGGGACCGCAAGCTTCGTCTTGGCACTCGTCGATATCTGCAGGCGACAAAGAACCACACGGCTCGCGTTTACACAGCACCCGGGACGCTTATAAGCGCTTATAATACTGAGACGCCTCATCCACCCCGACCGGACCCGACCCGACCCGCCCGGGAATCGAACCCGGGTCCTTTCGCTTGCGAGGCGAGCCCTCCTCCGACCGCTGAGCTGCGGGTCTCCAACCGAACAGGGCGCTGGCGGGGGGCGGGGGGGGTGTTCGGTTGAACGTCTCATCCCGAGCAGGGAAACGTAGAGATGACGGGGAATGAATTGAGTTCTCACGTTACCTGTGCAGTTGAATCCGGAGGGGGAAGACCCCGCGGGAAGTGAGGCGTAACCGATGTGGCAGGAGCAGTAGAAGCTCCCGGGCACGTTAACGCACTCGGCGTTCAAACCGCAGAGCTCAACTCGGCTCTCCTCGTCCCCGCACTCGTCGATATCTGTAGGACAGGCCGTTTGACCCGCAAAATGCACGGTCACTACACTTTGCGGTATACCCCGCGAAGCGCTTTGAGACGAGTATCAAATGCAAGGGTTTATCGTGTTCGTTTCTCAACGACGGCGAACAACAGACGCGGGGAACGGATTCCCTCTTTTACCTTTGCAGTAGGTTTTGAGGGTGAAGTTGGTCTCTCCGGAGAGAGCTCTGTAGCCTCGTTTACAGGTGCAGTAGAAGCCTCCGGGAGTGTTGTGACAGTCTGTGTTGTGGCCGCATCGCAGGTTCATGGTCAGCGGGTCATCGCATTCAACCACGTCTACAACAACAACAACAGGCAACATCTACACAGAGCCTTCCCCCGTCTCGAGGATGTCCCCAAAGCACTGGGCCGTCCGTGTTTCGGACCGGGATCGGGGAGCTGGAATTGCCCGAGGTGGGGGGGGGGGGCTTGAACCCACCACCTTCTGCCTCAAGAGGCGAGAGTGGGAAAGAGAGAGAGAGAGACTAAGAGAGAGAGAGAGAGAGAGCGAGGATGAGTCAGTCACTCACCTTGACACGTCCCGTTGGCAGAGATGCGGTATCCTGGGGAGCAGGTCCGGTTGGTGGCCATCAAAGGCTCCCAAACATTAGCCAAACACATCCCTGAGAGAGTGAGAAAGACGAGCACACGAGAGCTTAATGTACGTGGAGTCCCAGAGCGGAGTGGTGAGTGGGCCTCGCCGAGCAGGTGAACGGACCCCCAACATTTGGTCGCTCGGTCCACGGCTGTCGGTGGGGACGCTGCCGCGCGCAATTGGCTGCCGCCCGCAAAATACACAGTCGATTCACTTTACAGCGTGTCCCGTGAAGCGCTCTGAGACGTCTCGAAGACGTGACGAGGAGCCGGGACAAAACGCAAAGGATCGTCATCATCATTATTAATATTAAAGTGTTAAATGCCGGTTATCGGTGTCTACTTTGGATGAGATGTTGATCCCTCAATCTCTCCGTCTGTGCCCTGTTCAGGTTAAAGATCTTCCGGGGCACTGTTGGAAAAGAGGAGTGAGTTTCTCTCTCTTTATCTCCCTCTCTCTCTCTCTCTCTCTCTTGGTGTCTGACAATCTACCCCCCCCGTCCAACTCCCCCCAAACCCCACGATAAAATTGCTTATTCACTCCAGGGACTGCGCTGTGGGCAAAATTGGCTGCCGTGTTTCGCCCCCAAAAAACAGAATACCACAACAACAACAACAAGATTGCATTCATAGAGCGCCTTTCACGTCGGGAGGACGTCCCAAGGCGCTGGACGGTTGGGTCGGGACCCGAGCAGAGGGGGGAATGGTCAGGGTGAGGGGAGGGAAGGGAGGGAGCGAGGAGGGGGTAGAGAGTCGAGAGCGGAGCTGAAGGTACGGTCGAAGAGAAAGGTCTTGAGACCGGCCTTGAAGGAGGAAAGGGAGGAAGCGGCGAAGGCACCGGGGGATGGAGTTCCAGAGCCTCGGGGCTGAGAGGCTGAAGGCCCGACCACCGATGGTCGGGCGGTTGGGGCGGGGGGTGTGGAGCAGACCGGAGCCAGAGGAACGGAGGGTACGGGCAGGTACGTGGGGGGGATAGTAGGTCTGAGAGGTAGGAGGGCGCGAGGGCGTGAATGGCCTTGTAGAATGACTCGCTTGACACTATAATCCCGTGAAGGAACTCGAGACATCTCAACGATGACCTAAGACTCTGTAACGAGTGCCAGGATTATTATTATTATTAATATTCATAAATATTATTAATAGTAACAGTACCTTATTGTAAAAATATGGTACAAACTACAGTGTTAGTTAAACAATCCCACAAATTTGCGCCCACTTGACTTACCCAGTAGCAGATATGTGCATTTTAATCCACTCATTTTCTTTTCTGATGGGTTTTCAGTGGATCTCAGTGAAATCTTCAGTCAGCGATCTCTCTCTCTATCTCTCTCCCTCTCTCACACTCACTCACTCACTGCACCGGAAGCTGAGTCACGAACCTTTTAAAGCTCCGAACCGTACAAACCCTCTTTAATCCTTGAGTCTGGGAGTTTCCTTTCCGCAAGATTAATAATAATAATAATAATAACCTGTCGAGTCAGGGCGGGGGGCGTCTGGTGGCGCTCAACAAACTGAATGTCACTAAAGTCATAACGTTTAAATTTATTTTAAGTTAATTTAGTTGACCTACAAAACACACAGTCACTCCACTTTGCAGTCCTCTTCAAACGCAGTAGATAGTTTTTAATGGGATATAGCGCTTAGATGGAATCCTGTAGCTCAGTGGTTAGAGCGAGGGATTCGTGAACCGGACGAAATGTTGGGCAGGTTTCCTTACTCCACTGTTTTATCGAGCAGTCAGTTGTTGGTGGATTGGGGGATATAATAATATATATATATATATAATAATAATAATAATAAGATTCCATTTATAAAGCGCCTTTCACGTCAGGAGGACGTCCCAAGGCGCTGCACAGTTGGGTCATGGATGGCTTTTCCAGGGGTGGTAATCCCTTCCAAAAAAAATAAAACGAGTTAAAACAAATAAATAATAAAATAAGTAACCCACGACTGCTCGTGGGACGGGCAACGCTGTTCGCCGTGTTTCGCCCACATGATACATGGTCACGTCTTCAAGACGCCTCAAAGGGCTTCACGTGATGAGGTGATATATCAAATGCGAGGATTATTTTTATTATTATGATGAATTCTGGTTGGCAAGACTTCTACACGCCCTTACACTTTGTTTTGCACACCTTGTTTCCACCCGCCTGAAACTGTCCGACATAGGCGTTGGGGGATATAATGATGACAGGATTAAAGGCTCTCTGCCCATTGACTCACTGCCTGCTTTTACTCGAGGATTTAGCCGACAAACTCTTCCCGTTTCCATCTGCGCAGCCGGGCAGAGTAACCTGGAGTCCTGTAGCTCGGGGGTTAGAGCCCTCGCCTCGCAAGCGAGAGGACCCGGGTTCGATTCCCGGGCTGGGGCGAAATGTTGGGCAAGTTTCCTTACTCCACACACGCACACACACACACACACACAGCAGTAAGTAGGAACCCGGTTGTTAGTCGATGGGTGGATCGTTTTTATAATAAATAATAATAATAATCCTTGCATTTGACGCTTTTCACGTCTTCTCGACGTCTCAAAGCGCTTCACAGAACAGACTGTAAAGTGAATTGACTGTATATTTGTGGGCGAACGCGGCAGCCAATTGCGCACAGCAATGTCCCACAAACAGTCGTAGATTGAAAATGACCAATTTATTATTGATTTTGGTTTTGGAGGGATTATCATTAGGCTCTGTGTGGAGTAAGGAAACTTGCCCAAGGTTTGGCCCTCTGCCGGGAATTGAACCCGGGTCTCTCGCTTGCAAGGCAAGTGCTCTAACCACTGAGCTACAGGTCTCCCAGAATTTTAGGAGCCAAATTAGGGGCAGTTTTTCACCCAAAGGCTGGTGGAAACCTGGAACTCCCTCCGTCCCTCCCCCTCAGAAGGCTGTAGATTATGTCTGGATCCATTGCATCTTCAAGACCGAGGAGGACAGATGTTTGTGAGGTTGGGGGGTGGTGGTGGATGGGGTTCAAGGGATATGGGGCAAAGGCGAGGAATTGGGGTTGAGACACAGATCAGCCGTGATCTGGTGGAAATGGTTCGAGGGGTTGAATGATGATAAGATGTATAAATGCAAGGATTATTATTATTATTATTCCCTGCCCTGACCACTGGAGCATTAACTCTGGTACGAACAGTAGCCTTCAGGATGAACGTGCGATGGAACAGGTGGAGAGACTAAAAACTAAGGCCTCCCTCCCCTCGGGCCCAGGACAGTGAGACATGTTTGATTTGGAGCTCGAGAGGTTGGGTCGAGTGAAAAAAATAAGATCCTGGATTGGAACCCAACCCAACAACCAACCCTACAAACAGCAACGTCTCACCCTCAGCCCTGGGGGGGAATGTTATAATGTTATTAGTAATAATCCTTTCTCTCTCCCGGTGTCGAATTCAAGATCCTCATCCTCACCTACAAGGCCATTCACGGTCTTGCTCCCTCCTACCTCTCCGACCTACTATCCCCCGGGCGGGAGACATGGAGAAGACCGGAGCCCGATGAACGGAGGGAGCGGGCAGGTTGGTAGGGAGTCAGCGGGTCAGAGAGGTAGGAGGGGGCAATGCCATGGATGGCCTTAAAGGTGAGGTCCAGGATCTTGAACTCCATCCTCTGGGGGATGGGGGGCCAGTGGAGTCGGGCGAGGGTGGGAGTGATGGGGTCGCGGAGCCCTGGTGCGCGAGAGGACACGAGCTGCAGAGTTTTGGATGATCTGCAGCGCGTGAGGGGAAGAGTTGGGAAGGCCGATGAGGAGGGCGTTTCCGTCATCGAGCCTTGACGTGACGAGTGCGCGGGTGAGGGTTTGGGCAGCCTGAGGGGTGAGGCAGTGGCGGAGTCTGGCAACGTTGCGGAGGTGGTGGTAGGCAGCGCCGGTCATGGCGCGGATGTGGGGGATGTTAGAGGGCGAAGAGGAGGGGACTGAAGACAGAGCCCTGAGGCCACGCGCAGACATGCCAACGACATGTATGTAACGGTGCGGGTAATGACGTTAGGCAGGGTTGGATGGACTTTTATTGCGAGACATGACTCCATCTTGCTGCGGGTAAGATCACTCTGTCGGGTAGTCTCTATTCTGACGGTAATGACCCAATGTTGCGATACATCACATGTGCGTTAAATGCAAAGATATGATGAGAATTGACCTCGTTCCTGGGGCCATTGATAGTGTCCTGGGTTTGAAGGTCCCCTCCGATCGCACCACTAGGGGGCGCTCTCGGGTTAGAATCGACCACACATTGGCCATTGAGATGTTTCACAAGGTCAGGTCTAGGGTTAAGGTTCCTTACTCCACACACACCCACACAGACACACACCCACACAGACACACACACACACACCCACGCGAGCGCCTCTGTTTACCCGGCGGTAAGTAGCAACCTGGTTGTTCGTTCTGCTCACAGTCACTACACTTTACAATATATCCTACGAAGCACTTTGAGACGTCTCGAAGACGTGACAAAGGGGCAGAAACAAAATGCTTGGATTATTATCACCGATACCTTCTGCGCCCGAAGCCGTTGGTCTGCCTTTACTTTTTTCAGTCCGACTTAAAATTTCGCGCCCGATCTGTAAGAGTGCGCGACGGGGGGGTAACTGCTGGGGTCTGACCGGCCGAAACCTCATAGCTATAATAATAATAATAATAATACCACTTTGCGTTTAATGTTGCACCTCGTCACGCCTTCAAGGCACCTCAAAGCGCTTCACGGAATATACTGTGAAGCGGAGTGACCGGGTATCAATGCGACAAACGACAACAAACGACAACGATTTGAATTTAAACGGCTGGTGTCACATCCCGGAGCGCCTGACCAAGGTTGCGCCCGAGGGTTTCGGTTGCTGCGGGTGGGAATCTGCGCGGATCCGCCCGTTCTCCCGAGCCTGAGCGGTTTGGAAGCGAACCGGGATCCTCCGTGGCGACAAGCGAGTGACCAGGACCACACAGGAGCCGTTACATCGACAGTCAACGGGACAATTAACGGGTCAATTAACGGGTCAATTAACGGGACGGTTCCTACTGTGATAAACACCTTGTGACTTCGTTGCTCCTAAGGTGTAAGAAAGGCACTGACATTTTCCCGTAACATTTTATCTAAAGTTATACCAACGCCCCCCCCCCCTCCCCACCCCCCCACACGGTAGATATAAATTGTTGCTGGTCGATGGGTGGATCATTTTTCCTGGGATAATAACCCCTTCAAAAAAAATTGGTCGCTCAATCCACCAGCGTTTGAGGGGACGTCGCTGTGTGTGTTGACACAAAATACAAAGTCACTACACTTTACGGTGTGTCCTGTGAAGCGCTTTGATACATCGCAACAAAGTGATGAGGCCTCAAGACCCTCCTCTTCGACCGTGCCTTAGGCCATGCTCCTACGTTCTCTGCCCTCCAACCCCCCACCGATCCCAACCCCCCCCCACCACCCCTTGGGTCCTAATCCCTGACTCTTCAGCGCCTTGAGACGTCCTCCCGACATGAAAGGCGCTTTGCACATGTAATTTTGGATTGTGTTTTGTATTTTGTTTTGATTGTGTTTTGTATTGTGTTTGTATTGTGTTTTGTATTGTGTTTGTTTTGTGTTGTGTTTTGTGTTGTGTTTCGGATTGTGTTTTGGATTGTGAGGCACTGTATCAAATCCAATTATCCTATTTTTTTGCTTCTAACAACTACAAAATTCCATGTGTATAGCGCCTTTCACGTCGGGAGGACGTCCCAAGGCGCTGGACAGTGTACAGCATTTCAGACCCGAGCTGGGGTCTGGGGGGAGAAGGGAGGGGAGGGGAAGGGGGTGACCGATGGTCGAAGAGGAGGGTCTTGAGGTGGGACTTGAAGGAGGCTAAGGAGGGGGTGAGGCGGAGTGATTGGGGGATGGAATTCCAGAGGTTGGGGGCAGAGTGGCTGAAGGCTCTCCCGCCAATGGTGGGACGGGTGGGTCGGGGGACGTGGAACAGGCCGGAGCGGGGGGAGCGGGCGGGTTGGTAGGGGGTTAGGAGGTCACAGAGGTAGGGTGGGGCGAGACCGTGGAGGGCTTTGTAGGTGAGGACCAGGATCATCTTGAACTGGATCCTCTGAAGGATTGGGAGCCAATGGAGTCGGGCGAGAATGGGGGAGATGGGGTCACGGAGTTTGGTGCGGGAGAGGACACGGGCGGCAGAGTTCTGGATTATCTGGAGCTGTGGAGGGAGGGGTTGGGAAGGCCGACACGCAGGGCGTTTGCGTAGTCGAGCCTCGAGGTGATGAAGACATGACCAAGAGTTCCAACGGCCTGAGGGGTGAGGGAACTCTTCAAGGCACAACATAATGACATTTTCCCATAACATTTTCGACCAACTGCACCATAACATTCTGGATAGAAATTCTTACAACTCAGCACAATTTAATTAGGTTTATCGCGTCCACACGTCGATTGGATACCAACTAATGAGCACGAAACAACCTTCAACCCTTCACAACCAACTTACAATCAAGATGGTCATTCCGTAGGGCCAGTCTGACGCCAACAAACTAACACAAACATTCCTAACCGAACTGAAACAATATTTTCAGCCGACGGATAGATTCCTGATCGTAACAACACCACCGACAACACATGAGCCTTTCACGTCGGGAGAACGTCCCAAACTGCTGGGATTTGGACCCAAACTAGGGATCAGGAGGGGTGGAGGGTAGGGAAGGGGGGAGATTGGGGTTAAGGACGGTGGAGGGCGGGAAGCGTGGCCGAAGCCCCAGTCGTGGCGGAGGGTCTTGAGGCAAGGGATGGGGCGAGGCAGAGGGAATGTGGGAAGGAGTTTCAAAGAGGCTGAAGGCCCGACCACCGATGATGGGACAGTGCGGGGGGTCGTTGGGGGGGGGGGTGGCCAAGGCAGAGAGTTTGAGGGAGGGAGCGACAGAGGTTTGGGGTGAAGTGGCTGAGGACACGGCCATCGATATCCAACCATTGTCGGCCAGGACGCCAGGAGAGAGAAACTTTTCCAACACCCTCTCCCCCCACCCCCCGCCGCCGCCGCCCCTTCTCCTCCACCCTCCCCGACCCCCCCCCACCCACCCCCCCAGCTCGGCTCCAAACCCCTGACCGTTCAGCGCCTCGGGACGTCCTCCCGACGCGAGAGGCTCTGAGTCGATGTCATTTTGTGTTGCGTTTTTCTTGTGTCACTCACTTTTTTTTTGCACACGCGTTTGCACAAGGATTTTTAATGCGATTAACAAATACGAACAACTTTGTTTTACGCTGTACAAAAATACACCTCGTTCTGCACATAAAAGAATTTTGTTAATACATTTAAACACAATCTATTTTCTCTCCGTCTCTCTCTCTACATCTCTCGTACTATTTATCTGTCTGGCTCTCGGTCTCCATTTATCCATCTATTATTCTTTCTATCGCTTTGCGAGTTCAGTCACATAAAGTAAAGTCACATTGAGAGGGTAAAACTGTTAGTTTGATTGCTAAGTGCCTTGTTGCTCATTCAACGGTATCTGCTGAGTGTGGGAAGCTATAATAATAATAATAATAATAATAATAATAAGATATTTAATGCAGCGCCTTATCGTGAGACGTCATAAAGAGCATCGCAGGAATTATATTGTAAAGTGCGGTGACTGCGTATTTTGTGGGCGAAACACGGCAGCTAATTGCGCGCGGCAGTGCCCCACAATCCAGTGTCGTGGATTGAGTGATGAAATTATTATTTATTTGCTTTTGAAGGGAGTATTGCCCCCGGAAAAGCGATCCGCCGATCGACTACTGACTGCTGGGTTAACAGAGGCGTGTGTGTGTGTGTGTGTGTGTCTGTGTGGGTGGGTGTGGGTGTGTGTCTGTGTGGGTGTGTGTGTGGGGGGGGGGTAAGGAAACTTGCCTAAGGTTTCTCCCGCTCGGGGATCGAACCCGAGTCCTCTCGCTTGCGAGGCAAGGATTCTAACCACTGCGCTACCCCACATATTCACAGGATGGGGGGGGAGGGGGGCAGGTCCTTATCGAGGGGTTGGTGGGTGGGTGGGGGGGGTGGCGAGGTGGGTGTGTGGGGGGGTGGGGCAGGGGGGGGTGGCGATGGGGGGGGGGTCCGGGAGGGGTCAGAGAGAGAAGATTGGAAGATGAACCAGCAAATGGCAAAGAAATTCCGGATCCCTTTGCGGAAGCATTCAGCCCCTCGAGCCCGTTCCGCCATTCTACAAGATCACGGCCGGTCTGTACCTCAATCCCATTTACCCGCCTATGCCCCGTATCCTTTGACATCTCTATCTAACACCAACAAGATCAACAACAAGGGCGCCTTTACGTTGGGAGGACGTCCCGAGGCGCTGGACGGTTGGGTCAGGACCCGAGCATTGGGGGGGAAATGGTCAGGGTGAGGGGAGGGAAGGGAGGGAGCGAGGAGGGGGTAGAGAGTCGAGAGGGGAGCTGAAGGAACAGTCAAAGAGAAAGGTCTTGAGACCGGCCTTGAAGGAGGAAAGGGTGGAAGCGGCGAAGGCACTGGGGATGGAGGTCCAGAGCCTCGGGGCTGAGAGGCTGAAGGCCACCGATGGTCGGGCGGTTGGGGCGGGGGGTGTGGAGCAGACCGGAGCCAGAGGAACGGAGGGTACGGGCGGGTAAGTAGGGGAGCTCTCACCCCACGTCCCAGGAAACTGGCTCCGTTAAGGAAATAGATCTGATCCTGGATTTGAGTCTGACTCGTGGTGGATTTACCAACACCCCCCCCCCAACCCCCCACTCTCTCCCCCTCCTCCTCCTCCTCCCTCCCACACTTTCTGAATACCAGTGCTCATCAAATAAGATTAACAGAAACCCACGCGATAACGGTCAGACAATAAAATTATAGATTTCTCGTCCCCAAAGGCCGACACGTCGGTCTTTCGAGCGTTGTTTGCTGCGGTCCCGTATCAGTGGTGGAATAGCCAAAATTTCCCCAAATCCGTCCGTCGCTTCGCTAGATAAGCCCAGACGACATCGTCTCCGTCTCCTGGTGAGGTTGTCGCCCCTTCAAGTGGAAAGATATTTGAGTCATTAATAGTCGGTAATCGTAACCGTATTAATAATCCCTTAATAATCCCTTCCGCTCCACCACTGTCAGCGACCGAGCCCCAAAACAGTAAGAACACTCTCCCTCTATCCCTCTCCCTCCGCCTCGCCCCCCCCTCCTCTTCAGGTCGCGTCCTTCCTCTTCGATCATCTCTACGGTCGCCTCCCCCCCGCCTCCCACCCCACTCCCTCCAGCTCGGACACCGTCAAGCTCTCTGGGACGTTGCCCTGTGTGAGGGGCAAGTTGTTGTTGTTGTTGTTGTTGTTGGGCGTGTGTCGGTCATTACCTGGTTTGAATTGGATCGGGAGCTGTAGGTGGAGGTAAGGGTCCACTTCATTGATGACCCCAAACAAGTGTTTCCTCTCATCCACTTGAGGAAAATTTCCCTCATCTGTTGAAGATCAACACAAACTCACAATGGATTCAATGAACTCCCTGTTTCTTTCTTTCTTTCTTTCTTTCTTTCTTTCTTTCTTTCTTTCTTTCTTTCTTTCTTTCTTTCTTTCTTTCTTTCTTTCTTTCTTTCTTTCTCTCTCTCTCTCTCTCTCTCTCTCTCTCCCTCCCTCCCTCCCTCCTTCCCTCCCGCCCTCCCTCCCTCCCTCCCTCCCTCCCTCCCTCACTCCCTCCCTCCCTCCCTCCCTCTCCCTCCTTCTCCCTTCCTCGCTCTCTCCCTGTGCACTACGCGTACTCTGGGCTCCTCTCAAGCCTTGGCTCTTGCCAACCTACGCCTGATACTCTCCGGAATTAGGTAAGCAGGATGCATCCCTCCAGGGAGAGAGAGAGAGAGAGAGAGAGAGAGAGATCATTCCATTCCAACAATCTATCTCTGGGATTTCCATGTGTAGATGGGATGCGGGGAATTCTCAATTGGGTTTGGAAGCTCTTAAACGACGGTGATGGGTTTCCGTGCGTGTGAGACCGAATGGGCAAAGTCCACCCCCCAAAAAATATCACGAATTATTATTATTAACTATGATTGCACCTTCTTAGGTACGAGGCAGTGTAGGATGAAGATGAACATTCCTTGGAAGCTGTTGAAGATGGTGAAGAGGAACATCATTGGGACGGTCGCACTCTGGATGAAGAAAGCTCCAAACACCCAAGTGCAACCCAGCAGAAATATCTGCCCGATTGCGGTCACCGTGAAGATCCTGTGGATCACACAAAAAAGCTCTCAGAGGAATGGAACCAGAATTTAGACGTTAAACCTCATTCCCCGTCTGAGCCCTGTTCAGGTGGACAATAAAATTCTTCCACAGCGCTGTGGAAAAGAGAAGAGAGTTTGTCTCTCTCTCTCTCTCTCTCTCTCTGTCTCCTAGTGTTTTCGGGCCAACAAATCCCTCAGATAAACCGGGGGTAAAAAAATAATAATAATAATTCGGTCAATTGGCTGCTGTGTTTCGCCCACAAAAGCATATACCTGTGAAGCACTTTGAGACGTCTAAAATGTATCAAATGCAAGGATTATTCTTATTATTATGGTTATTATTATTATTATTATTATTATTGTCGAAGTCCAGTTTCAATTTGATGTCGCCCGCTAACAGGTCGTACGGTTTCATTACCTGATGTCTTCCAGTTTCTCTTGAGACTTGTTTCGGTCACTTTTCTTAAGCATCTCGGCCCTCACCTTCACCAAAGTTTTGCTGAGAAGAATTACGTTGGCCTTAAATTCCACGAGAGAGAGAGAGAGAGAGGGAGGGAGGGAGGGAGGGATGGAGGGAGGGAGGCGAGTAAATTGCACTGTTAAGATTCTTACAACATACTTGCATCGGTCGGAATGGTTAAGCTTCGCAGTAGTTTCCCCCCCACCCACCCAACGCACACTCTGGGCTCCCCCCACCCCAACACCACCACCACCACCACCCAAGCCTTGGCTCTCGCCAACCTGCGCCTAACACTCTCCGGAATTAGGTAAGCAGGGGGCGTCCCTCTAGGGAGAGAGAGAGAGAGAGAGAGGGAGGGAGAGAGAGAGAGAGAGCGCAATCCTTTCCAATCCCCTCCCTCCCCTCCTCTCCCCTCCCCTCCCTCCCTCCCCCTCCACGAATAGTGTAACTCACAGCATTACTCTATTTAATCCCATCACCCCCCCCCCCCCCCACCGCCTGGCAGTCTTCGCCAAGCTGCGTTGGCTCTGTGCCCCCACCCACCCACCCACCCCACTCTCTCCTCGCCCCCCCCCCCACCCACTCTCTCCTCTCCCGCCCCCGAACTAAGACCGCATCGGGGAACTTTTATTCCGAAATCCCTCCCCCCCCCCCCCACACAAAAAAAATCTAAAGATGCTAAACCTGGTGGTATTGCACTGTCCGCGACTGCGTCCGCGGGTGAGAGAGGAGAATCGTCCGGGTTTAACTAACGGAGATAAAGAGAGAGAGAGAGAGAGAGAGAGAGAGAGAGAGACCGAACGGCCTCTTTTTTCTAATCTCTCTCTCCTGACCTCGGAAAAATGCGGAGGGCGATACGATGCTCAAACCCTCAATCAACTGCTTCCCTCCGTCGCTGGGGCGCAGTTCGGCTGCCGCGTTTTCGCCCAGTCACTACACTTTGCGGCGAACCCCGTGAAGCGCTTCGAGACATCCTCCTCCCCCCCCCCCCCCTCCCCCCCTCCACCGCCATCGACCCCCACGCGACGTGGAAGGCGCTGTAATCAAATGTAAAGATTATTATTATTATTATAATTGTCCTCTCTCGTACGCCACTCCTGTTCCATTAGTTCGTACCCCTCTCTCTCTTTCTCTCTCTCTCGCGCTCTCTCTCTCTCTTTCTCTCTCTCTGTCTCTTTCTCTCGCTCACTCGCTCTCTCTCTCTCTCTCTCTCTCTCTCTCTCTCCCGGTTTTAGCCGTATTCTCCCGGCGCCCAAATTAGCCGCCGGGTTTGCCCTCAAAATGAGCAGTTGCCGCGGTCGATGGCCACAGAAGAAGAAGAAGAAGAAGAAGAAGAAGAAGAGCTTTGAGCCCGCGTAAGGCGTTGCCTTCAACGTAAGGGTTGTTTGCGGGGCGTTAAACGTCACGTTAGGTCCCCCCGCCGATTGCTCTGGGACGTCCTCCCTCTGCGCGACAGCGAGCGCCGAGAGCTTTATCATTCCGTCGGCTCAACCCTCGTCACCGCTGTGGATAAGTCAATCGCGCTATCGATTTCACCCACAAAACACCCGGTCACTTCGCTCCACAGCGCGTCCCCTCGAGCGCTTTGAGACGTCTCGAGGACGTGATGAAGCGCCGGGTGGAATGCCCGGATTATTATTATTACTATTATTATTATTTTATCGTTAGAATCTTACTGCACAGACCCCACCCCACCCCACCCACCCCACCCACCCCACCCACCCCACCCACCCGGCGCGTTCCTCCTTCCCGAGTAAATATCCCCCTTCCCTTTCCGAAACCTCCCCTCGAATCGGTTCCCACCGGCCTTTCAGGCAGCGCTTTCCAGACCGTAACAACTCGCCGGGTGAAACAGATGTCTCCGCGTCCGGTCTCCCCCCCCCCACCCCCACCCTCTGATCCTTTGGCCAATTACCCCAAACCCGGTGACCCTCCGGTTACCCACTCGCTCACGCACACCACCCGCCCGGAGGAGACGGCTTCTCCCCCCCGTGCACCTGATCCAAACCCCTGACCGCCTCGAACGCCTCCATTAAATCTCCCCTCGACCTTCTCTGCTCCACGGAGAACAACTCCCGGCTTCTCTAATCTCTAATCCCCCCCCCACCCCCCCACCCCCCACACCCCACACCCCCGTCCTCCCTCCGTTTGCTATTCACTGCTCGTTTTGGGTTGATTTCCTCGATCGGGCTCCTGTTACAGCAACTCGCTCCGCACGTGACTGTTTCCCCCATTGTGTCGCCTTCGCCCTCGAACAATGAACACACAGAGACATTGTGAGTCGAGAGGGGCCTTCGGGCGAGGACAAGAGAGAGAGAAAAATAACCCGCAGGGGCGAGCGAGCGAGCGAGCGTCTGGCCTTGACTCACTCCACAGGGCTTTTTCTTTTTTCTGTGGCACGGACGCTGTTGGAAAAGAAAGGGCGTTCCTCTCTCTCTCTCTCTCTCTCTCTCTCTCTTTCTCCTGTCTCTCTCGCTCTCTCTCTGTCTCTCTCTCTCTGTCTCTCTCTCTCTCTCTCTCTCCCCCCCACTCCCCCGACGCGGCGCCCCTTCGCTCGGGGCAGCGGAACGCACTCGGTGCCCGCAGAACGCACAGTCGCTGCACTTTACGGCGTGTCCCGTGGAGCGCTCTGAGACGTCTCCCGGGACGCGATGAGGCGCGCGAGAGAGAGAGAGAGAGAGAGAGGAGGGGGCGTACTTGCAGTACCACTCTTGCTGTTAAGTTTCCGTCGGGTTTCCTTCCTCCGAGTGCCAACGTCTCGATGCCTTGAGGGGGATTTCCTGAGAGATGAAAGGGTTTTTCGCTTAAAGTTTCCAATAATCGTAAAAATATCCCGTTCGAGCCGCAAAATGCACAGTCACTGCACTTTGCGGCGTATTCGGTGAAGCGCTTTGATTATGAATAACCATAGAACGAACCCCTCACAGCACAGAAGGGCCTTCGAAAGAGCTGCTCCTTTAGTCCCTCTCCCCCGCTCTTACCCCCATAACCCCGCCATGTTTTTTCCCCCTTTCCGATCCCCCCTTTGAAAGCTCCGAGCGAACACCGGCCCTCGGCCGCGCTCACGAGGTGAGATTTACACAGTTCCCCCCACCACCGCCGCCCCCCACCCCCTCCCCACCCCTTCCCGAGTCTTGACTCTCACCAACCTGCGCCCGATACTCTCTGGAATTAGGCAAGCGAGACGCATCCCTCCATGCGGAGAGAGAGCGAGAGAGAGAGAGAGAGAGAGAGAGTGCGCGGGTTCGATGCCCATACATGGGAATTTCCACGCGTGGGGGAGACGTGTGCGGAATTCTCAGTCGGGTTTGGAGACTCCTAAGCAAAGGTGACGGGTTTCCGCGCGTGTGTGTGTGTGTGTGTGTGTCAGACGCCCGGCCGTCACGGTGACGGGTTATCGCGCGCGTGTGTGTGTGTGTGTGTCAGACGCCCGGCCGGTCACGGTGACGGGTTATCGCGCGCGTGTGTGTGTGTGTGTGTCAGACGCCTCAGCCGGTCACAGTGACGGGTTATCGCGCGCGTGTGTGTGTGTGTGTCAGACGCCCGGCCGGTCACGGTGACGGGTTATCGCGCGTGTGTGTGTGTGTGTGTGTGTGTTCAGACGCCCGGCCGGTCACGGTGACGGGTTTCCACGCGTGTGTGTGTGTGTCAGACACCCGGCTGGTCACGGTGACGGGTTATCGCGCGCGTGTGTGTGTGTGTGTGTCAGACGCCCGGCCGGTCACGGTGACGGGTTATCGCGCGCGTGTGTGTGTGTGTGTGTGTCAGACGCCCGGCCAGTCACGGCGACGGGTTATCGCGCGTGTGTGTGTGTGTGTGTGTGTGTCAGACGCCCGGCCGGTCACAGTGACGGGTTATCGCGCGTGTGTGTGTGTGTGTGTCAGACGCCCGGCCGGTCACGGTGACGGGTTATCGCGCGTGTGTGTGTGTGTGTGTGTGTGTCAGACGCACGGCCGGTCACAGTGACGGGTTATCGCGCGGTGTGTGTGTGTGTGTGTGTGTGTCAGACGCCCGGCCGGTCACGGTGACGGGTTATCGCGCGCGTGTGTGTGTGTGTGTGTGTCAGACGCCCGGCCGGTCACGGTGACGGGTTATCGCGCGTGTGTGGTGTGTGTGTGTGTGTGTCAGACGCCCGGCCGGTCACGGTGACGGGTTATCGCGCGCGTGAAATTCCACGAGAGAGAGAGAGAGAGAGGGAGGGAGGGAGGGAGGGATGGAGGGAGGGAGGCGAGTAAATTGCACTGTTAAGACTCTTACAACATACTTGCATCGGTCGGAATGGTTAAGCTTCGCAGTAGTTTCCCCCCCACCCACCCAATGCACACTCTGGGCTCCCCCCACCCCACCACCACCACCACCACCCAAGCCTTGGCTCTCGCCAACCTGCGCCTAACACTCTCCGGAATTAGGTAAGCAGGGGGCGTCCCTCTAGGGAGAGAGAGAGAGAGAGAGGGAGAGAGAGAGAGAGAGAGAGAGCGCAATCCTTTCCAA